GAATGAACAGTATGGAAATGATTCTATCTTATGGACTCTGAATGGAAGCTGAAATATATTTGGCACAGGGCTGATAACTTTGAGAAGCTGCCTAGTTTATCTTCGTAGCCCAGCATTCTGTCTACTATGCCATACTACCTTTCCCAAATGAAAACTGAGGCTGGAAATAGTTCTTTAATTATATATAAGGGCATGGCCCATCATCCCAAGCTCTGAACTTACAATGATTAGGCCCAATATTGGAGTTCTGGGCTACTGGTTACGTGGGATATAATAATGTTTAATATTTAAAGGAAATTTATTCATTTTATGCCAAGAATCCTTACCACATTGTTGCTTCATTTTCAACTTGTAGATCACTATGATCCATGGACTTTTTCCTGACAGATAAAACTGAAAATGCTTGTTGGACAGTCAGTAGAAGTAATTTATGAAATTAAAATATATTTAAGTGATTTTAAAACATCAGTTATATACATCATCCAATTCCCATTATCAACATTTTTGGTTTTGAGAAGCTAATGGTAAGTATTTTGATGGCTTCTTCTGTATATTTTTGACTGTCCAGATGAAGATATTTTTGAGTAATCTCACAACATTCAAATATACTTAGCATTTTTTTGGGGGGAGAAACAGGTTTCCTCTCTCCATTTTCTAACAATGCTATTGAGTTATTAGTAAATTTCCACCATTGTTTCATACTGGAAAGTCCCAATAAATAACTCTATCAGCCATCTATGGTGATAATTGTTCTTATTTATTTAGCAAAAGTTTTTCTCTTATGATATATAGTGCAACTATTATTAACCCCATATTACAGATGAGAAGTAGAGGCCCAGAACGGGCAACAGACTTGCCCACAGAGGTACAGGCAGGAAATAGCAGAATCGAGACTAGAACCAAGGTCCTTTGGCTCTAAGACAAGTGAGCTTTCTGCACTAGTGTACTGCCGCCATTCCCTGGGTCAGGTAGGCAGTGTGTTGTAAGCTGGCTGCTTGGTTCAATTTAGCAGTCACGACCACCCTGCCACCTGCTCCTGGACTAGTTCATCTTTTTCATTGAAATCAACAAGAAGATTTTGAAAAGCATTGGTTATATGGTTGTGATGGGATGGCAGTGTATTGTTAGCTGGTTGAATATCTGAATGCACCAGCTAACATGCAACTGCTGTCCTATTGCATCTGCCATGACATAGACAAATGTCCATGTTTTTAATTTTTTTGTTATCAGGGTGATATAGGAAAATGATGGTCCTGTGATTTACTGTTTCAGTCTTTATTATCTTTGAATTTTTTCCAAGGCAATTGGGATTAAGTGACTTGCCCAGAGTCACACAGCTAGTAAGTATCTGAGGCTGGATTTGAACTCAGGTCTTCTGGCTCCAGGGCAAGTGCTTTATCTGCTTCACCACCTTTATTATCATTTATTTTATTTTATTTCTTATTATCATTGAACAATTAATTCCAACAATTATAACCTAGTGAATGACTTGATAGTTGCTAAGGATTAATATTTTAATTAAGAATAAATGTTTTAATTATGTTTTGTGTTGTAACAGTATTTTTGAAGTTCTCTAAAGGGTGAAATAAATTATTTACTAGTACTTTTTAAAAATTTAGGAAATAATAATTTTTGAATAGAAAGGCTAAAACATTTCTAGAAATTTTCAACCAAGATTATCTTCATCAGGTGAAAAAAACATATACATACGGATTTTACATACTTAAAATTAATTACAGAAAATACTTTTATTCAACAGATACTTTAAATATATTTTAATTCTGGTAATCACAAAAAGGGAAGGAGATGAAGGAAAAAAAGATGAAGAAAGAGAGAAAAGGGAGATGGGGAGAAGAAGAGAGAGTCAGAGAAGTAGAAGAAGAATGGGGATGTGAAAAACAGATAGCCATGAAAAGAAAAAAGTAGGGGGAGAGACATATCTATAGAGAGGGAGGGAGGCTCAGCATATAATTATTGTTTTTCATAGCTCTTTAACTACTCTTTTTTTTTTGTAAATCTCAGAAGCCTTGCACCAGAATGAGCTCCCACACATGGGGAAGTGGGATGGAAAGGATGAAAGATCATTTTCTGGATTACAGCAGCTCTGATTCCAATGACACTAACTCCAAAAACAAGATGAAATCAAGGGAATGGTTGACTCTGGCCCTCTGTTCACAGCTTTCCCTGTGTACTACAGTCTAATGGCATTTTTCTCCCCAACCAAATCTCACTTAAAAAAAAGATCACGATCCCATGAATGTGAACCATTCATTGTATTACAATGAATGAGTTAATTTAAATGTAATAAAATGAGTTTGGGTTTCTTTTAGAGCAGTATACACCTATACTTTGTCTCCATGGTCATTTTCCTTTTCTTTCTCTCTCTTTTTTTTTTACTTGAAAAGATGTTTTTTGTTTGATTTGGCAGAAAAGCTAGTTGACAAAGTCTGGTTTTAGTATGTGTGTGGTGATTGGGCAGTGTATTGTTAGTTAGCTGTTTTTCATAATTACAGCAACTGCATACACTTCCACATTTCCACATGTTCTTTCATCAGGGTAGGTTTAAGCAAATTGTTTAGAGCACTTATGATATGACATTTCTTTGTATTTCTTTTGAGATTCCTTTAAGATGTTTTATATTAGAGTTAATGAAGAAATACTTTTTCTTAACCCTGACTCAAGATACTTTGGCCTTTGCTTTGTTCCTCTTTCATCACAGGGGAATTGTAGTTTTATATAGCATTCTTTGCACAAAGAAAGGAGACAAAACCCTTTATATGATTTCTTCTGAGAGTACCCTGGTGTTCTTCCTCCATTTAGGCAGCAATGGAGGACATTCAGATCGCTAGTTTTCTTGTTTCTTGGGTGTTGACATGGGATAAATGTTTGTTGCGCTTAATTTAAGAGGGATGTAATCTTTTCTACCTTACAACACAGTTGTGAGAGGGTCAAATTGCAATGACTAGCATAACTTGGAAGCTCCTAACAATTTCAGTTTGTTATAGACTCTCTGGCCCAGTACATACAATAACGCAGGGCCCTGCTTGGAGATGAGGCTTCCTCCTTCCCCTCATAAAAATGCAAGACGAATTCTTAATTGTTCATATAATATAGGGATGCTTTCCCTGTGTACAGAATCAACCACTAAGGATTTATTTACCACCTAATATGTGCCAGGCACCATGGGAGATACTAAGTAATGAATAAATACAAGATAATTTAAAGGTAGTTTAGGAGAAAGGACACTAGTAGTTGGGGGCATTAAATAATGCTCATGTAGAAGGTAGTGTTGATTCATGACTTGAAGACAGGTGGAGTATTCTTTGAGATGGAAGTGAGGAATGAGTATATTCCAGTCATGGGGATGGCCAGTGCAAAGGCAAGGAGGTAAGAGATGAGGTAAGTATAGAAGAGGTGAGGAATAGAGAGGAGGCCGGTTTGGCTGGTTCACAGTGTGCAGGATGGGGAATAATGTCCAATGAAGCTACAAAGAGAGGTTAGGCCTAGGTTTTTAAAAGCTAAACAGGGGCAGCTAGATGGTGTAGTGGACAGAGCACGGGCCCTGGATTCAGCAGTACCTGAGTTTAACTCTGGCCTCAGACACATAACACTAGCTGTGTGACCCTGGTCAAGTCACTTAACCCCATTGCCTAACCCCCCCCAAAAAAGCTAAACATAATTTTTTATTCTAATAGTAACATGGAGCTACAGGAGTTTGTTGATTTGGGGAGTGATATAGTCAGCTCTGTGCTTAAGGAAAGTGTAGCATTGTGTAGGATGGATGGAGTAGGGAGAGACTTGAAGCAGGGATAATTTACTCAACAGGTGATTAGGGCTTGAACTAAGGGGATGGGTGTGAGAGATGCTATGGAGGTGGAAATGGCAAGTTTGGAAACCAATTAGATATGTGAGGTGAGAGTCTCGGATAATATTCAGGTTATGAACCTAGGAAATTGGAGAAATGATGGTGCTGTTGACAGAAGTAGGGAAGTTCAGAAGAGAGGTAGGTTTTTGGTTGGTGAGATAATGAGTTCTATTTGAAATGTGTTGAGTTTGAGCTATATGCAGGACATAGATTTTTAAGCATCCAAGAAGCAATTGGTGATGTGGGACTGAGGCTCAGGGAGAGACTGGGACTGGATACATAGATGTTAGTCTTCTGCATGGAAATGATGATGATCAAACCCATGGGAGCTGATGAGGTCACTCAAGGAAAAGTATGCAGAGAGAGAAGGGCACGGGACAGAATACTTAGAGCATCTAGAACTAGGTGCTGTGAAAAGGATGCTGAGCCTTGAAGAAGGTAGCAGGAGTAATGGGAGAGCACAGGGTCATGAAAGCCTAGAGAAGAGAGTGTCTAGTAGGAGAGGATGGTCAGCTGCATCAAATGCAGGAGATAAGTCCAGAAGGATGAAGACAGAAAGGACCATCAGATTTGGTAGGTAAGAGATCACTGGTAACTTTTCAGTTGAATGAGGCTGAAAGAGTATAGAGGGTTGAGGGGTGAGAGAGAAAGTAGAGGTAACAATTGTAGATAGCTTTTTCTGGGATTTTGAGAAAGGGAGGAGAGATATAAGATGACAGCTTGAGTGAATGGTAGGATTTAGGGAAATTTGTCAAGGAGAGGGGCTTAAGATGTAGGATGTATTTGAAAGCAGTAGAGGAGAAACCGAGTAGAGAGGAAGAGGCTGAAGGATAGAGAGGCAGGGATGACTGAGGTTATAATCTGCTGGAGATGATGGAAAGGGATTGGATCCAGGGCAAATGTGGAGGGATTAGTATTGGCAAGGGAAGACTCATCTTCCTGGGTTCAAATTTGGCCTCAGACATTTACTAGCTGTGCGATCCTGGGCTTTCACTTAACCCTGTTAGCCTCAGTTTCCTTATCCATAAAATGAGCTGGAGAAAGAAATGACAAACCACTCTAATATCTTTGCCAAGAAAACCCCAAATGGGGTCACAAAGAGTCAGAAGTGACTAAACAAAAGATGTCAGAGGAGTTCTACTTATAAAAATTTTATTTACAAATCTGAATATGCATAAGATTGCACATTTATCTTATGCCCTGCAATATCTCCACTACCCCTTTTCTGCTAATATTGATCATACAAAATTTTTAGTTATTATGTCATTCAAATTTAGTTGTCCTTATGTAGTGTTCTGGGGTAGTTGGTATTTAAGCCATCAATCACAAGCATCAAAAAGTTTCATGTTTGTTAAATGGACAGTAGTGAGTTTTGGTGATGAAGTACTTTGAATTTTCACTGTTTTTGATGAGTTCTTGGTATATTTAATTTTGACTTTATCACCAGCCTGAATAATCTCTTTTTGGGAGGATGGGCAGGGAGAGAGAGGAACATTCTAGGCACTTATTTAAGAGATGCCATCCTTCTGGACCATATTTAATTGGATCCCAGAATTATTGGAATGATTAAAATGTGACCAAAATGACATTTAGACATTGTGATGCTCTCATTGCTGCATTAGATTCACATGCTTAATGACATTTTCAAAGGTCTTCTTTCTTTTTAATGATGATTTGTCTAACCAAAGCTGCTACATCTGGTCTGATGGCTTCCAAGGATTCGTCAGGTCTCCAGAATTTCACAACTTTACCCTCAGGATTGACGAGATATTTCCAAAAATTCCACCTTGGCTCCTTCTTAGATGAATCTAAAAAAAAATATCAGTAGACAAATTAACATAATTTCAGTGTAAACCAAAATCTCCAACTTAATTTCGGGCAAAATCTCCACTGAATTAATTTCACCTCAACAAACCTGTGTGTAAGACACTGTGCTGAGTACTGTGAATACAAGGACAAAAATGAAAAACAGCTTCCCTCTAAGGAGTTTACATTCTCCTGAGGGATGTAAGACAAGTAAATACAGGATAGTTAGAAGAGGCTAAGAGCCCTAATAACTAAATATTGCCTAAATGAGGACTTAGAAATCAGGCTCCGAGTCTGTAATAATGTTAGTCAAACTCTTTTAGGAAAAAGTTGAAATGTCCAGATCTTGATGTACTATTGATTTTCTATAGATATGCTAGGAGGTGAAATGAAACAGTTAATTTTGGAAAAATACATTTAAATAGAAACTTTTTTATCTTGTTCAGTTATTTCATTTTAATGGATAAAATGATGCTGTTAACTAGGTCACTAATAATTTGTGGCTTAATTTGTATATTTGATATATAGTTACTTGGAATATTAAAGAATACAGTAGCCACAAAGACTGAAGAAATACATGTATGCAATGAATTTTTTTAAAAGGTTGGCTCTTTGTTAAGGTAGGAAAGGAATTCTTGTCTGTTAATGCCATTTATTTCAAGTCATTTGGTGTTCAATTTAAATTTATGGATGAATATCATTTGGGCCCACCTAATTGACTAACTTAGGGGAGATGCAACATATAAAGAAACATTTCTAACTAGAAAATAAAAATTGCATAAATAAAAGAACACATTATTTCAGATAGCCTAGCTTAAAAGTAGCTTGTGGAATGGAAAAATTTCCATGATGGAAAAGGTTTCAAAGCATAATACGACAGCTTGTGGCAAAAATCTTTTCACTACGCAAGGAGCTCAGACTTAAGGTGCTGCTTTATCTAGGTCTATCTTGCTCAAAATTTTAAAACGATCCAATTCTCATTTGCATTTGAAATTTTTATACTTATTTGCTCCCAGAACTTTGCTTGACTTCAAAGCAAACCTTGAATCAATACAAGTTTTTAAATTCTTTGAGGCAAAGACTTTTGGAACAATGGAATTTCAGAAACTACTTGAATAATAACAGAGAAAAAGATAGTACTGTAATTCTGACATGAAAAATAGAGGATTCTAAGATTTGGGTTATAAATAGAGGTTATTGAGCTGCAAATATAAAAATGAATATTAGACTTAGACTGTTACAAGGATATAGTAAAAAACAAACTGGAAATTATCGATAAAGTCAGCAGTGGTTCATAATTAAAGATCTCTTACATTTATTTCCTCCTTTCCATTGCCATTCTCACTTATTACCTATCTCTCCTCCATTGAATATAGCCTACAAACTGAGGCCAGATTAATCTTTCTGGGATATATTTCCCTGATTTCAATGGTTCCCCATTACCTATGGAATAAAATCCATTCTACTGCACTGCGATGTAGCCCCAATCTACTGTTCCAAGTCTTAATACTTCTCCTCATGCACCTGAGCTATTCCATCATTCCTCAAAGATATCCTATATTTGTTTAACTCTGAGTCTTTGTTTACCCACTTCCCTTGACCTAGAATAGTTAGTTATTGGAATTCTATCTACTCTTAGAGGTCTAGTTCAAATTCTGCCTCCTTTATGAAGCATGCCCTGATACCCCAAGCCAGATGTAATCTTTTTCTCTTCTGTGCTTCAATAATTCTTTGTTTAAACCTCTTAGTGCTTAACACCTTTAGTTTTCTATTATATTTAATTCAGTTTCAATTTAACGAACTTGTATTATGTGCTAGGCCCTATGCTGGCACCAATGATACCAGATAAAATTGGACATCACACAATCAATGTACTTCAAGAGCTCATAATCTTGAAGAGGATAGAAGTCATACATAAATAACTATAATACAAATTAGAATATAGTGAGTACAAGGAGAGGTCTAAGAAGATGCAATGAGAGATGTGTAGAGGGAGAAATCACTTCCAGCAGGGAGAATTTGGGAAAACTTCCTGCAAGAAGTAGTGCCTAAGCTGGGCCTGAAGGATTTTCACAGGCAAAGGTTAGGGGAAAGCATCTATTTCAGATGATAAAGGAGAGAGCAGGGCAAGAAGAGGGGAAAATGAACAGGGCAGTCTGGTTAGAATATAGCGTTTGTGAAGACAAGGACAGCAAGGGAGGCTGGAGACCGGCTGTGGAGAGCTCTGGATGCCTAGCTAAGGAGTCAAGAGAATGACACAAACAGGGTGAGCTGTCAGGGAAGGCACGGTGATTGGAAAATTGAATGGGGAGACACTAGAATTAGGCCAGTTAGGATGTTGATTACACTTCTTCACTTGGGAGGTGATATGACTAGGGGGGGTAGTGGTATCCTCAATTTAAAATGAGGAAGGTAAAAGGAGCTGTAGGTTTTGGGAGCAAAGGGATGAGTCTTTAGTTTTATATTTGTTGAGTTTGAGGTACTGGTAGCATATCCAGATGGGAAATGTCTAGGAGTAAGTGAAAAATTAGAGACTTGAGAGGCATCTATGGGGAGCTGATAACAAGCTTAGGGAATGCAGGAGATCATCAGTGGAAGTCCAAGTTTTGGGGATAGAAGGAGGGTAAGGAGCCAGCAAAAGAGACATGGAAGAAATGATTAGAGGACTGGAAGGACTAGCATGGGAGCACAGTGTTAACAGAAGATAGTATCAAAGAGATGGCCGTCAATAGTTTGACAGTTTCTTGAAAGCAAGGATAATTTGTGGTTCATCTTTATATCTCCTGAAGTGTCTACTAGTGCTTTGCATGGAATAAAAACTCAATAGATGCTAAATTTGTTGAGGTATACATGGCATGGCCCCTTGCCTGGACTACTGCGGTAGCCTCCTAATTGGTCTCTCTCCCGAAGAATGTAAGCAGGGCAGAGGGCAGAAACTTTCATTTTTGTCAATGAATCCTTAGCAGTTAGCAACAGTGCCTCACTGGTAGTAAGTGCTGGCAGGAAAAAAAAATGCTTATTGAATTGGGGCAATTCCTATTTATTTGAGTAGACATTGTGCACATATATTTTGAGGGCTACTACTAATAATTTAATAATAGTGCTCACACTGGTTCTCTTGTCTACACTGCCAGATAGTCATTATGTTTGCTTTTTAGGATGCCAGGTCTTACATAAGAAGTTCTCCCAGATGCTTCATATGATGTCATTAAAAGGGATAGGTCTTACGTGGCCATGGAATAGGGTTAGAGAACTTTTGCTTTGCTCATAACATGGATCAGTGGTGCTTAAAGTCACAAGGATCCATAGTGAAAATGTTATGATACAAGACTGGGTAATTTAAGCATGAAAGCTATTTTACTTTGAATCTAGCAAGCTTTTAAACATAGCCAAACTCGAAGTAGCCTTGAAACAGTCTTTCATAGCTGGTAGGAAAATTATCAACAAGTGTCCTTTTTCATCAACATTATTTAGAGGTATGTAAATAGAACAATGATATATTTCCCTATTATGCTTTATGAAGTTATGCTAATAAGAATTTTTGCAAGATGAAATCTTTCATGAAATGTGTTGCATAGCCATAGCAATGCTTCTGAATTAAATTATAATTTACATTGGATCAGATCTTGTACTACCAAAGAAAATGAAGTACTAATTTTGGGGAAACAAAACTTGCTAAGAATTGTTGTTAATAATAACAATCCCCCACTAAAGTCTTTCTTCAATGCTTCACCATGGTGTGAAGGTGACCCTGTGCTGAATAAATGCTTTGTGAAATTATGCTAATAACAATTTGCAAGGTAAGAACTTTCATGAAATAAGTGTATTTCATAAAAAAAAGCTTTGCCAATAGCTATACAAATTGTAAAGGAGCTACCAAGTTGAGGATGAACTCTGTTTTTGTTTGTCTGAGGACAAGCAGAGCTAAGTTTGGAGGTTAGGTGGTGAATGTAAGAGACCATGGTAATTCATAAATACTATCTACTAATGTGTGGAAGCACCTACATTTGTCAACAGAGTAATCATATAAATGAAGTCAAGGATACTTAAAATATTTAAGTATAATAATATCAACTCACATTTACATAGCGCTTTACTGTTTACAAAGTGCTTTTACGGTTTGCAAAGCACATAAGATGAGATGATTGTTTTGTAAGACTTTGTTAATGAAACATTTCTGAAATGAAAAACAGAAAATTAAGGTCTGGGAGCAGAGGGGTTTAATCTCAAAAATGAAAGGCAATTAGAAAACATAACACAAGCGAGGATGATATTTACCAATAAGAAATCTAAATGCAGGTTCTCCTTCAGATCCTAGAATCTTAATCTTGTGGAAAATGGGGAAGGTTACTCCATAGTTTGATTTGACAAAAGCTTCTATTTCGTGACTGGGGCGGGGCTCGGATTCTCCAAACTGATTGCACGGGAAGGCCAAGACGTTGAAGTGGAACGATCCAAACTCTCGGTGCAGCTCCTGCAGCGCTAAGTAATTTCTGTCTGTGTGCTGGCAGTTACTGGCCACGTTTACAATCAGTGATGCCTCCGGGAAAGAGAGAAAGTCCAACCAGAGAGTGAAACACAGATTTTCATAAAAACTGCAAATCCAAAGAATAAAAACAATTTCGGGGACTACATCGGACAAAGCAGTTCCTCTTTGGTTATATTATATTTCTAAGTAAATATTTATAAAACAACATAGTGCTAAAAGCTTAATGGCATATCACTGACATCAAGAAACACTGGAAAAGCAAAAAGTAGAAACATTAAAGCTTTAGTGATGGAAGTAAAAATGTTCTTTTCATTGTATCGTCATTTTCATGTAATAACTTTATTATTAACAAGTCATATATTCCTATCTCCATCTCCACCCACCTCTCCATCCCCATCCCCACCCCTACCCCCCACCCCAGTTAATCTCTAAATGATCCAAAGTATTAACACAAACAAAAGCCTTCTTTTAGTTTTTAGAAAATGAAAAAAGAACCAAACTTCATTTGGCTTGTGATGTTATTTCAAATCTTGCTTCCTTTAGGAGTTAAGTGACGTGTACTAATAGTTACCCCTGGGGTAACGCCTTAAGACCTATGTGAAGGGGATAGTAGTAACTAAATCCATCAATCTCTTCTAACCAAAAGTTATTATTACAGGATATAAAGTTAACATGTTGATTCTGCAAAGAGGATATAAGGAGAGAGTATTCGGAAACGCATAGAAATGAAAATCGGAAGATGCAACTTACTTTGCCTCTGTACTTTTCCAAAGAAACAGTCTTTCCCCTTGAATCCTTCACTTCAAAAGAATAAAAGTCTTTGATTTTAGGCTTCAGGTATCTCAGCTGCAGCAGGAACAAGGTTACGGAGCACAGAACCATAGACAACAGAACAGCGATCAGCCTGGCCTTGGGGACGGAGCATTTTAATGGATTCGCGGCGAGAGGCTCCATTTTGCAGGGCTCCGGGGCGGGCTGCGGGGCGGGCTCCGCAGGCCTGGAGCCGGAGGAGGAGCTGAAACTCGAAACCCGACACCCGGGCAGCCTCAGCCTCGGCCTGCAGGGCCAGCGCCGGCCTTCATGGAAGAGCCCAAAGAGGCTGGAGCCTCTCTCAGGCCGGAGGGCACGGAAGGAGGCTGCTGAGAGGGCCGAGGGCCCCGAAGGGCTGCGGGCTTCAATGGGGACAAAAATCTGGAATGAGCAACTAACTTTTAATTGTTCCTCTCGTCCTTAGAAGGTGTCAGGAAACATTTGGCCAGCAGATGGCGCTGCAGCAGCTCGAAAGACAGCGCTCTAAGGTCCCCGGGTTACTTCTGATGCCTGGGGTTGTAGGATGAGGAGCCGACCGGGCCCTTAAAGCTCAGCCAGGGCGCTCCCCTCCTGTATTCAGGGGAGAGGAAAGTGACGTCCTGAATAGTGGAGGGGTCTGTTGGGCACAGCCGTGTCATGTAGACTGGATAAGATCCTTAGAATTTGAGATAGGGAAGCCAGGATGCTGATGCAAAAACCCCAAACATTTTCTAGACAGCTGTGTGAAGAAATAAATGAATAAAAAAAGGCTATTATATGTAACAAATTGCTTGCCTTCTCAAGGAGGGGGGAGAGAATTCGGAACTCAAAAAATTTTAAAACATGTTAGAATTGTTTTTACATGTAACTGGAAAAATATAAACATTTAATTAGAAAAGAGAAAAATGACTAGGATCTTCTTAGTCTGTGCTTATCGTAAAAGAGACTGATGTGATCATCAGGAATTGAACAGGTAATCGGATCTTTTTGGGGAAAGTTTTGTGCCTGTTTCAGTTCTATGTTTCTCCTTACCAAGGTTTGTAGGAAACAAGCTGCCGCTTTATGGGGTGGAGCGGAGAGAGAATGAGAGCTCAGGACAGCCAAAGACATTATGACAGTCTCGAACTCATGTTTTACTTGTGACCTGCCTAGGTAAGGTAACAGGCTGCATGCGATGTACAGATATTTTAATGTGGTTCAGGGGGCAATTAGAGCTGAGCAGGGGAGGACCACCCCTATGTATGTAAATGAGGAATGAGACAAATATTTACTGAGTAGCTACTACTAAACTGTCTAAATAATCCTCGAGACTAGGTAGAATTTTGAAAGGCACATATATTTGCCTTTGGGTTGTACCATCCCGTCCAGTATTTCTTCCCTATTTTATTGCCCTCCCCCTGCCAACCCTACCCCCTTCATCTCATGATACTAATGAAGACAGTAGTGTCCTCATTGCTGTTGTCTTGTTCGCCAGGGCCACTTCCTTGGGCCTGCCTTTTTCGGGGAGCATTCCCCACTCTAGATCAGTGGTGTCAAGCTCAAACAGTATATTGACTTAGAAAAGCACGCATTAACATTGTTGTTTGTTGTTTGTCCTTCGTTCTTGAAAAGGACCAATGACATCACCAGGGTGATATCTTGACTTGGACTCCTGTGAGGCACGTACATGAGATCATGTACAAAGTTTTCAGCCTTGCTCTCTCCTCCAGAGTCCAGACAAAGGGCAAGATTACTGGCTTCTTTTCCTCTTTCGCCTTCCTCCTTCTCCTCCTCCTTTTTCTCTTCAAAAAGCTGAGATGATTTTCTTTTTGCCCTGCACAGTTTTCATTTTTGATTTCCTGAAATATAGCTCTGAAAAAAGGACTTAAAAATTAACATTACTCATGTTACATTGTGTGTTTTGTTAAATATTTCCCAATTACATTTTAATATTGTATTCAGTAGCTCTGGGCCATTGGAACCTGAGCGCTGCATTCTTGACATCTTTCCCCTTCTCTGAATCAAGAAGTGCCAGTCCGTGCCCTACTTCCTTAGCACTTTGCAAGTGACTGGTATGTGGATTTCTGATGACAGCATAAACACTGTCATTAGTAGATGTATATGGTACTCCTTCTAAGAAAATTTGGATTTTGAAAACGGAACAAACCTCTAATGATGAGAATTTCAGATCTCATCCTATATTGGATCTTTGCTGGGTAGGTGAGACTTAAACTACAGCTTTTGTAGGCCCATTGTGGAGATAAAATTATTAAAGTAACTGGCTTCCTTTTAAATGCTATGTATTTTATTTTATAAAGATGTTATTCTGAGAAGAGATCAATGCAGAGATTTCACCAGGCTGCCCAATGGGTCCATGGCACAAAACAGGTTAGGAACCTCTGTTCCACAGTGTATGTAAGAGCCAGAACCAAAAAGATGCATAGGAAGAGGAACCTCAGCAAGAGAAGATAGGAGACCTAATTGTGCAGTATGATTTAGACTGGGAAAAAAGCCCATAGGCTGCATCTGACTCGCCTAAGTCCACAGATCCAGCCCTAACGGGCAGGAATGATGATGAATACTTTCTGAGGAATGACTCCAACCTGTCCCTTCAATGGCATGTGTTGTGTGAACCTTATAGGTCAAGAAGTAAGATGAATCCTCCAGGCAGTCCTCTGGAAAGGGAAGAAGAGTTTTCTTTGTCATGGAACTTGTACTTAAGTCCTTTGCATTGTTTTGTCAAGTCAAATTAATTTTTCCTACATTTGTTATTTTGAGTTCTTTCAGGTGGAGCTAAGTGCCTTTAAGATATGAACCAGATTCTGCTGGTCCCATAGTAGATGATGGTTTGGGGCAAAACAAACAGTAGAGACTATTACTGAGAGATCCCCATGGCAAATTCAGCATATTGTGTTGGCCTGGGGACCAAAAGACATAGCTCACATTTTATTTTGTGTCTTCTGATGATCAATATGAAGTGAAGAATTTAAAGGAGATCTATACAATATGCTCACTAAAGATATTTGCTGCTGTCATGGAAAACATACAAAAGGAGGAGGAAATTCTTGTAGAAGGTGAGGTCCTCCAGATACTACTGCTTACAGATCATTGTGCATTAATTGCTTCACATTCTAGAATATTATAAAGCTGCCCTAATGAGATCCACAATTCCCCAAAGAGATTGGTCTAACAATCCATACAGGAAAAAAACAAGTGGTTGAAGAATATGTAATCTAGCCAGGAGTGGGGAGCCTGTGGACTGGAGGCCACATGTGGCCTTCTAGGTCCTTGGGTGCAGCCTTTTGTCTGAATCCAAGTTTTACAGAACAAATCCTTTTATTAAGGGGATTTATTCTGTAAAGTTTGGATGCAGTCAAAGGGCCGCACTTGAGGACCTAGAGTGGCCTTTGAAGCCACAGATTCCCCGCCCCTCACCCATAGGCTATAACATACAATTGAATTGATAGCTCAGGGATCCAGTCCACTTATTATCTCTTTTGGACTGACACTGAAGATGGACAATAACTGGGGATCAGAACTGAATGGGAGGAGAAGAGTTGATTAGGTTTTGTTTTAGAAAGTGCACAGTGCTGCCAATTATCTCAAGTTGCTCTCCGAAACAAAAATCCATCTTTTTAAAACCATTATTTTTCTAGAAATGCTATATAGCTAGGAATCAGGTAACACTTATTCTTCAGAATTGAAATTGCAGGTCATCCAAAAGGCAATGGAGGGAAATATGATGGGAATAAATAAATTGCATCATATTACCAACAAAGTCTTGTATATTAGAAATGACATAAAAAAATCCAAGAAAAGTGTTATTGGAAATGGGAGAAGGCCAGTCACATAGCTAGAATTGAGGGTTTATAGATGGGTAGCCCAAGACCTGGTACCCACAGAATGCTGAGGGACCTAGAGGAAGACCTCTGGCACATTGGTTGGATCCTCTATGGAGGAGTCATGGGAGAATATGGACAAGAGCCACACAAGATGAAAGTTGTGGGTGTGTTCCAATCTGTACTTTGGCAGAATCATCCAAATTGATGAGATCACAGATCTACTGAAGCCAAAGTTTTATAACAAATCTTAATTCACTTTTTTCAAACATAGAGATAAACCAAATACACAAACTAGAGGAAGGAACAAAAAGAAAAATATCTAAGTACAAAATGTATGTGTTCCATGTAACTTCTGTACCGTAATAAGTGGCTTTAGCCCTTTATCTCAGCTTCTCAAAGTATTAGTGTTTATAATCCACATCTAGATGACATCATTTTGTTACATACACAAATCCCATTACATTTAACTCAATGAAAATTTATTTTGCATCGGCTGTGTTCGAGGTACTGTGCTAGGCTCTGGTTACAAAAATTAAAAACAAAGATCTTTTCCCTCTAATTACTTAAAATCTTGTAAGGGGGTATGAAAAGTACATGGATAAATTTAATGCAAGTTAGAGGGTCCAGAAAGTCAAAGAAGAAAGGGATTACTTTTGGATGTGTGAATCAAGGAAGGCATCACAGAAAAAGTAACACCTGGGTTGGGTCTTGGAGATGGAGAATTTCAGTAGGCAGAAATGACAGTGAGAGTCTGATGTAGGCATGAAGGATAGTGTGAATAAAAGCTCAGTGGCCAAAGAGCACTGTGTGAGTGTGCCATTGGAAGGAAGATCATCCATACTGATCAGAGGGAGAAGAGATAAGTTGTGGTGGTGGGTAACTCTCACTGAGGGATACCAAGATAGCCCAAGAATGACCAGATGTGAACAAGGTAGAATACTGTCTTCCTAGGAAATGCATCTGACATGTGATGGAGAGCCTAATGACAGTTACCCACTTCTTATGATTCAAGTGGGGTCAAATTCTATTTTTCCTTGTTTTTTATAATTTAACATTTTCATTGATATCTCGTTTTTATAACACCTTAATTTCCGGATATATTCTTCCCAGTTATTATACCCAGTGAGCCATTCCTCGTAATAAAGAGTGAAAAAGAAAAAAGTAGGCCAGCAAAACTAATAACATATAAACTGTCTGACAGTATATTCCATGTTCCATATCCATTGTCCCCTATATTTGCAAAAATAGGAGGGGTTAATTTTCTTATCTCTTCTCTGGAGCCAAACTTGGTCATTAAAATCCACCCCCCCCATTTTTTTGTTCTTTCTATGTACATTGTTGTAGTCACTGTATATATTGTTTTCTTGGTTCTGCTTGCTTCCCACTGAACCAATTAATACAAGTCTTCTCATACTTCAAATTCTTGATATCCATTATTTCATATGGAGCATTTATATTTCATTATATTCATGTACTGTTTAGCCATTCCCTAATGAGAACTCATGACCTTAGCTGTCTATACATAAACACAAAATACAGAGCATTGGTGATAAACAAGGTAAAATAGAAATATTGACTTAAGGAGGTAAATCTGACCTCATAGGTATTGTTAATAATAAGTGGCACTAAAATGTAACTTGTGACTGGAATTTGACTATTCAAAAGTGGCAGATTGGATAAATATATCAAGAAATTATGTTTATATAGAGAAATCTGAGAACTAGAGAGAGGAAGCATTATAAAAAGCAATTAGATGAGGGTAAATATAGAGAGAAATAGGATAGTGTCGTAAAAGTGATATACTGGGCCTGAAGAAGGAAATGGTAGATAAATTTGGGAGGTAGATAATAAACCTGGTATGTGGCATCAAAACACAGTGGTGTTAGTTGACTTCAACTCCCTGGACAACTGCTAGAATCTTTTCTTTGCTACAAGCAAAGATATGTTTTTTTGTTTTTTTGTTTTTGGCTAGGCAATGGGGTTAAGTGACTTGCCCAGCGTCACACAGCTAGTAGGTGTTTGAGGCCAGATTTGAACTCAGGAGGATGAATCTGCCTGACTCCTGGACTGGCACTTTATCCACTGCACTATCTAGCTGCTCACCCTAGATTTAGGGATAGTATATTTTAAAGAATTCAGATAGTTCATAGGTAGGATCTCATGGTGAAAAATTCTACAAGGCCAAAGAGTAATAATGGAATACTCTCAAAGTCAGAACTGGGATGACATAAATACAAATGATTCTAATGAGACTCAACTACCAAAATCTTATTTTGCTTTTGTTTTTTTTTTTTCTACCAAAGAGAACAACCTTTTTGCCTGGGAAGGGTAAAATAAAGATGGTTAACAGGGAATTGAAATCTCAGAAAAGTAAGACGATATTAAGAGTGTACCTAGATGCCCTCAATGAATTTTCAAGTCATTAGGGTTGGATATATTACATGCCAGCGTGTTGAAAAAAATTGTGCATGTGTCTTAAATTATGAATAACAGGAGAAGTGGATTATTTATACTAAAGACTTGTCAACTTAGTTTTGATTCTGGGCAAAATTCTAGAATGAAATGTTATAGAGAAGGTTTTTGAGTTCTTAGAAAGTGAATAAATGATAAGTAAGAGTCAGTATGACTTTATCAGGAATATGTTGAATATCATTTTAACTTTTTGTCAGGATTACTAGATTGGTAGACCATGGATTTCTATAGACATAATATACTTTGGTTTGAGCAAAGCATTTCATAGTATTCTTTTTTCCAAGTGTATAAGATATAGTGATATAAATATATCTTTGTAGGCTATATGATAGTAAAGTTAGTTGGATTTGGAATTGTTTGAATGGCTGTACTCAATAATAATTAACAAATTAATGCCAACTTAGAGGGTGATCTTGAATAGTATGTTTTTATCAATGGCTTTCATCATCTGTGACTTTAATTCAGTGATTTGGAGGAAAACATAGTGTCATACTTATCAAATTTATTGATGGCATGAGGCTGGGATGGAGAATTTAAATACTGGATCACTAAATCAGAATTTTGACAGATGGGCCAAATCCAATAAAATGAAATTTAATGTAATAAGTGTGAAGTCTCACTTATGGGTTAAAGAAATAACCTCAGAATTTCCTCAAAATTCCTCAGTCTATGTCTGAGGAATCATGGATGAGAACAGTTTGCATAAAAAAATCTTGGGACTTTAATGAATTGCAAACTCAATGAGGCAATAGCATGATACAGCAGCCAAATAATTTAGAATGTTAGAAGTATTGCAGAAGTAGAATAAACAGGACTTAGCAATTGATCGGATGTGAATGGTGGAGGAGAGGGAAGAATCTAATATAATTCATGTTTTGAGCCTGATGGACTGGGAGGATGATAGACCTCAGTATCCTTATTTGCAAAAAGAGAGAACTAGACCAGATGGCCTCTGAAATTTCTTCTGATTCTAGATCTATGATGCAATGGTGAAGCATGAAGAGTTAATTTTTTTTTATCATGTTGAGCTTGAGGTATCAGCAGGATACAAAGGTGGAGATGTCCATCCAATTGATAACTGGAATTTCTGGACTGAAGCTGAGAGATGAAGTCTGGGTAGAGATAAATATTTGGGAATATGGTAGTGAAATTGAAACCTTGGGAGTAGATGTGATTCCCAAGGAAGAAAGTTCAGTGAGAAAAGAAAAGAGAGACATGGATATAGCCTTTGAATAGATTGCCCACAATTGAGTGACAGAAAGAACAGGAATGGACCAATAAGTTAGCAAAGGAGAGAGAAGAAGAGGATCAGGAGAGAACAATCAATATATGTTGGTTTATAATTAATTGGTAAATTTTACTATAGGCAAATTTTCCTGAGAGCAGTGGAGAGGGCAGTAGGAGGAAATATGGCAGATGGGGGTATAATGGAGTAGTCTGTTGAAACAGAAGGTGGGATTCTGAACTCTAGTGTTACGGGAAATCACTGTAGGGACCCCTAAGGTGAACAGTCAAAAGCATGGAGGAGGAGGAACAATACTGGCATCAACTCAAGATGGATACTAATAGGGTAGTAGTTTAAGTGTAGAGGGAAAGGATAGATTTTTAGCAATGCTGTAAAGGCAAAAATCATATGAGTTGTCATTGGATGATGTATGTAGCAAAGTCAACAACTTGTAAATGAAGATGAAATGTTTTGCTTAGGAGGGAAAACTATGTGATAGTATTGCTCATTTCAACCTTCATATTTTAGTTTAAAATGTACTTGAGACACTTTGGTCTTCTCACTTGAACTTAAAATGATATTGTGATATTAAGTTTAAAACTTCTTATAGCGAGAGGGGCCAAGAGAAAGTTCAGAGACCCAATTATACTCTTTCCAACAGTCCATTTAATCTCTTTACCACCTATGGAGCTGATTTATTGACTTTTATTCAAACATTTACCTAATTGTGTTACTTAGAGAGAGAGAGAGACAGACAGACAGACAGAGACACAGAGAGAGATGTATTAGCAGTAATGATGGTTATTAAACATTTTTATGAACAACGTACTAGATGAATTCCATCATAACAAATCATCAACATTCCCTTCCAGTTCTATTCACTATTTTTGAATGGTGGGCCAAATGGGAGGCGATGGTTGAAAATGTATTGCATCATCTCTGTTAATTTTATCTCCACAGTATACTCTAGTGGTTCTAGAAAGACTTTAGCATCACTCCTTTGCCTTTCCTGGCATTTCCAGGTTTTTCCCCCACCCATTGAATACATGTGCCAGATTATTTATCACCAGATATATTTGTTTCTATTTTCCCAGTTGTTTCATTTTGTTATTTCCTGACCTTATTTTTACCCTTTCTCTAGGTTCCTTTCTATTTATTTTTTGGCCAGTGTGCTCCAAATTCCTCCCGATTTAGTGTCAATGTAACATGAACTTTAAAGGTAAACAAGCCAAACAGATTTGCTTAGGGTATCAAGCCATCCATCCTTTTTCCCTTCTTTGTCTTATTTTTCTCATCTTCCTCTTCCTCTCTATTAATAAATACTTGAGTCATTCCAAACTACGCGATAGGCATTTCCTCCAAGGGGGATCCTGGATCCAAAGGGTAAAAACACTGCAGAATGAAATGGTATAATCTAGTGAGAAGGCATGTCCCTTGGGGCCCTCTCACAATGTACAAGTGAAGTGAGAAGCTGAGCAGCCTTTTCAAATCAATTTGAGCTGTTAATCCAAATAATTTTGACCCTCACCTAGGCTCTCTTTGCAAAGTTAAATAAGACAGACGTCAAATGCAACCAAGACTAAACATTACAGGTTGCAAAATTATGTTGTGACTAATGTAGCCTCTGCTTAAACACCTCCTGTGACAGAATGCACTACTTTGCAAGACAGCCCATCACAGAGCCACAGAATTGGACTCTTCTGCGTATTACTTCTGTAGCCTTGGGCAAGTCCCTTTCCTCTTTGGGCTTTGGACTTGAAGGGCCCTTCTAGCTCTAAGGGCCATCTAATGCAATCTGAACCTGAACAGGAATCCTTTCTATAATATCTCCAACAAGTGTTTATTGAGCTTCAACTCCTCCAGTGAAGAGAAATACAGACTATCCTGAAGCAGTCCACTGAACTTTTTGACAGGATGTTTTCCCTTATATCAAGCTGGGATTCTGCAACTTTCATCCAATGATCCTGGCTCTGTCCTTGGGGGCCACTAAACAGAACCATTCTATCTTCTACATGAAGGCTAATGAAATAGTTGAAAACAGCTATCATGACCACTTCTCCACAAACTCTCTCTTTTTCAGGCAATTTCTTCATTTGACCCTCCTCACGAGTTCCTCATGTTTTGCCTGCTCTCCTCTAGACACGCTTGCCAATGTCCATGCTAAAATGGTACACCAGAATGGAACATAATCCTCCAGATATGATCTGACCCCAGCAGTGTACACTGTGCAGTGGTTCTAGACCTTCTCTCACATTAATATAGTGTAAGACCAAGTTAACTTTTTTGTTTGGGTTGTGCTCTTTATTCATCTTTACTCATAGGGATCTGTAGTTTCCAAACATCCTATTCATCCCTCATCACCTGTTGCTTGTCTCAGTTGAAGCCGTTGCATCTTAATCTTCACTCTTAGACACAGACACACATCTCTTTTGCCCCACACAGTTTCAGATCCCTTAACTCTGCTTTTACTGAAATCTTGTTTGCTTGTTTTTCCATGAGGACAGGGCCTCCCTAGGATCTTTTCCAGGCTAGAAGTGCAAGAGCACTCACAGGCCCTGTCCACCTGCTGATCGGCATGGAAGCTTTGCCTTGCTGTGTATCTGACCTGAGCCCATCTGTACCTCCTAAGTCAGAGCCTGGTGGTGTTCCATTCATTGGGGTCTCACCGCAGTGGTACCAGACTTACCCAGGACACCCAATCAACTTAAGCCCTGCTGCAGCTTCCACCAGGAGCGGGGATTACAGGTGGGGGTTACCATGCCCAGCCTGATGCATTTTAAAAAACAAATTTTTATCCTTTACATTTTTCTTTCTTAGTCCAGGTAAGAGTATGGTTCTTGATACTCCTTTTCCCTAATCCCCTCCTCTCATTGCTTGGATGACACCTTGATTTCAAGAAATGTTAATCACTTCATCTCCCTCTTCCCCTCTTTCCTTTCTCTGGGGTACTTCTGTCTGATCATCAGAGCCTATTCTCTCTTTGTTCCGCCAAGTATCCTTAGATGAAGTAGGACTTCTAAATACTTTCAGTAGATTATCTCCTTTTTGTACCATGTAAACAATGAGACTTAGGCCACCTGGCCTTTTCATTCTATGTGTAAGTGTTTGTCTTTAAGCTTTCTTTGTCTATTGTCCAAAACTCTGCTTAACTCTGGCTTTCTCAAGAGGAAGGTGAAAGTAAGCCATCTTGCCAAAGGTCTATTTTCTTTCACATGTGCTCAGGTCCAGAGGATAAGTTATTCTAGGGTGCAAGCTATTTTCCTTTACTTTGTGGAGTATAATACTATTCTAGTCTTTTATTTCTTTTCATCAAAGAATGTTGTTGTTTAGTCATTTTTCAGTCTTGTCTGAATCTTTGTGACTCTATTTGGGATTTTATTGGCAAATATACGGGAGTAGTTTGCCATTTTCTTCTCTAGCTAATTTATATATCTAAATTTACAAATTGAGAAACTGAGACAAACAGTGTTAAGTGACTTGCCCAAGGTCACATAGCTAGTAAGTGTCTGAGGCCAGACTTGAACTCAGGAAGATGAGTCTTCCTAATTATAGGCTGGGCACTCTATCCACTGCACCACCTAGCTGCCCTTCATCAAAGAACAGTCTTAATTATTTGAACTAGTGTCCCTGATAAGTGAACATTTTCCTCCTGGAAACTTTCAAAGCCCTTTCCTTTACTCTAAACCTTTGTGGTTATATCCCTGGGTGAGTTAATTTGACTCCTCTCTTCCAGCATCCTATGGATTCTGTTGATTTCCATTTTGTTCTCTAATTCTATACTATCAGGACATTTTTTGTATGATTCCTAAGCTATGACATTCAGATTCTTTGTTTAATCATTTTTTCTTGTTAATTTCTATCTTCAAGATCAATTACTTTGGTTAAGCATTCTTCAAATTTTGCTGTCTAATGAAATTGCTTTAATATTTCTTGTTGCATCTCTGTATTTTTGCCTTCTGCCTGCCATTCTCATTGTCAGGATCCATTGGTTTTTCACGATCTGTTCTGAACTATTGATTACCTTGTTGGTTTTTTTTAATTTTTGTTTAAGATTTTGCTCCTTATCTTTTTCTTTAATTCTTTTATTAAACTTCTTAACCACTCCAGTTCTTGCATTTTGAATCTAACTTATGGGTCTGGTTGTGATTAGGACAGTATTATTCCCCTCTGAGATTTCTTCTAACAATCTTTTTTTCCTTAATATTTCTTTCAATATCATCAGGATTTTTTGTTTGTTTGTTTAATTACATATTTCTTCAGTCTCTGATTTTTTGTCCCGTGGATTTTTGTTTGTGAGGTTTTCTTTTCCCCTTCATTTTTGGGTGCTTCTTAATTTTGTTTGGTGTTGTTGTTATTATTTTGCTGTTTTGAGGTAATGAAGGAGATCTATATTTAAACACAAGTACTCAGTTATCTCACTGGAACTCTTGCAAAATATTTTGGGACAGGCTCAGCACTTAAATTCATTTTAAGGGGTTAGTTGTTTCCAATTATTTCCTATATTATTTTGGGCTTCATTTATTTCCTGATTTTTAAAAATCCTTTCCACTTTGAAGATCATTCTCCTTGGTGGGCAATATGGAGACAAAAGAGGAGTCAATTTTCTTGACTCTCCTTAAAGTCATTGAGTCTTTATTTATTATCTTTTATCTCCATCAGTCACCTTTAGGGCAACAGATGGAGGCAGTGACAGCAGCATTAGGATATGGAACCTGGATTTTGTTTCAATGGGTGTATGGCATTTACCGTGAAATTCATTGAGAACATTAAAGAAAAAAACTACCCCAGTCCTATAGACTCCTTTTTCTTCTTCTTTTGTTGTTGTTGTTATTGCTTAGTCTTTTCAGACTCTTCATGATCCCATTTAGGGTTTTCTTGGCAGAGATACTGGAGTAGTTTGCCATTTCCTTCTCCAGCTCATTTTATAGATGAGGAACTAAGGCAAAGAGGATTAAATGACTTGTCCATGGTCACACATCTAGTAAGTGTCTGAGGCCAGATTTGAACTCAGGAAGATGAGGCTTCCTGACTCCAGGTCTGGCACTCCCTCCACTGAGCCACTTATTGATATTTTCTGTTTCTTATATTATTGTAGTTATCCCACATATCCTTCCCCTTCTCCCTCTATCGTATATGACAAATAGTATTTCTTTAGAAAGGAAAAAAAAGTTAGCACAACTGATTAACATTCAAAAAGTTCCAAAACATGAGCCATGTGTAACACCTGTGGGCCTCCTGCTTTTCCCTCACTTAAAAAATGGAAACTATTTTATTTTCTATTCTTTGCCATAATTTTAGTATAATTTATGGGTCTCAAATTATTATTTCCAGAACCTCATGATAATGTAGTAAGTTGGCACACTGTAGTTTTTAAAAAAGAGCTGGTACATGTCTTGTATTATTACTGTTACATAAAGAACCTATGTTTTCAGCACAACAGACAATTTTCAATAAATATAATAATACACATCGGGTTGAATTACCAACAAAAACTGCTCCTTGAATACTTTGTGTCCCTTGCAAGGGGGTAGGAGAGGAATCCCTTAAGGATGTATGGTAAAAGTGTTTGGGAAAATGTTTGGCTAAAGAAGGACGCCTTGAAAAATTTTACTGAGATTCCTACAATTTAAACTTAGGTCCCTAGAAATAATAAAGTGCTATGAGGCTTATTTGAATTCTGGTAATTTAGAATTAATTAATCTATGTTGTGTCAGACAAACTGAGCCTTCTTTTAAAAATATTTAATTTTTACTTATTTTGGCAACCATAGGTCACAACTCTTGTTGTTATGTTGTTCAATAAACAGGCATCGAATGTAGTTGAAACTACATATTCTAACTTTAAAAGCAATATCGTGAAGAGACAGATGGCTGAGATGCCTGTTGCTAGTAGCCCAATAGCCACAAGAGGGCAGCAGGTCTCCACTGGAAATTGTGCAGCTCAGCCTTTTCAGGAGGACCATTCTCTAGATGATCAGATTGATGCTTCTGGATCAGAGGTGGAGAGAACACAGGAGGAAGTGACCATGATTCTTGGTAAGAAATCCGTGATTCTATTAAGACATGTCTTGTGACTCTGAATTTAACGATATTTCATTTTTTAAATTAAATTAAATTTTTTGTTACATTTTAAGTTCCAAAGTGTCTCCCTCCCTCCCCATTTAATGCTATTTCTGCTCCATTCAAACTATAGAAATATGAATTGTTTATTTTGTATTTACCCATCTGGGTTTCTCTTTCCCTTCTGAAGAATCAGAAATTTCCAAAGAATAGAAGCTTAGTGTGCAAGTAGAATATAATTTGACTTGAAAACTTCTTTTAGGCTTACTTTGATATATGATTTCTTATAAATCACTATGACCTTTTAAAGAGATGCTTTCAATTTATTTTGAAAATTGTTTTTATTATTCTGGCAAGAGGTTCATTTGCTGGTCCTTGGTGGCTAAGGAAAATCATTGATGTTGGGATAATCAGGTGTCTAATTTCTAGTTTACCTATAATTTCTTGGGATGGGGGTGAGGGAAGAAAGTAACTGGAAAGTTTTATACATCATGGCTGAAATAAAATTCAAGTTGTCCCTGTCCTAAGCAAAGTTCCCATCATAGGTCCCACATGTGGAGAGAGGACAGTCTAGGAGCCCTGAGTACTTAGCCAGGGACCCTCACCCCACCATCCTTCCTCAAAAGATTGTAACCAGTCAGAAGAGTGAGAAGGAGCAAATTTTTGAGGGGTACCCTGCAATCTAGAGAAGAGAATAAAGGGAGGAGAGAGAGAGAGAGAGAGAGATGATTCTGAGAAAGAAGAGGAAAAAAAGTAGAAAATGAGGTTAGAGAAAAAGAGGAGGGAGAAAGAAATAGAAAGAAAAGAAAAAAAATATAGATTGTAAGAGCAGAGGAAAGAAAGAAAGCAGAGCCAAGAGATGGATGAAAAGGGGAAGAAAGAATAGGCTTATGAACTTACATTAGGCAGGGCTTGGAAATAGGCACTTCTTTAAGGGGGGCTGTGCCCAATTTTGTGAGGCATGAATTCTAGTATCAACCTATTGGATCTTAAAAGCATGAACTTCTTCTCGAACAATGCTTTGAAAACTTTCTAAACTCCTTTTAATTTTTTTCTGTCCAGATGTCTAAATAAATGTGAATCCTGGACTTTAATTCATTTTGATCATTGTTTTTCTTTTTCCCTTCTCCTGAAGCAGGAATTTCAATGTTCACCCAGTACATAGGCTCCAACCATTGCTAACAAGGCTCAGTGACCTTTAAGTCTAAACAGACATAACTAGGAATTTGAGCATCTGAGGGAAATTGAGTTGAGTGGGGAGGACAGATAGAAACCCAACTCTGCTGTTGGAAAGATGGAACACACTGCAAATCCTTCTGATCTTGATGCTGGTTCCTGGCATACTCCATGGCAGGGGCCTGGCAGTATGATATGGACCATTTGTTCTGATCAATTATAATAATGGTGGCATGGCAGGAGAGGAATATGGGCACCAGGAGAGGGGTATGACTGGAATGGGATTCTTTGGTATGTTAGTTCAGGGCAGGGGAGGGATGGATGGGGCTGCAGGTGGGGAGGACAACTGTTTTCAGGAAGTATGCCCTTACTGAAAGGAAGCACCCCATCTATCTCGTGTCTCTTCATCTTTTACAAGGATATCATAAAACACTCTTGTCAAATGTCTTGATGAAATCCATATATGCTATACCTATAGCACTTTCTTGATTTATAAATTCTCATGAGGTTGCTGTACATTTCACAAGATGTAAGAAATTCTTTGCAACCTCCAACCCCTAAAGAGATAGAAACTGTGATGATAGTGATGAGAGGGGAGTGAGCCTTTCTCTGACCCTTCCTCATCTAGCAACAGAAAGTCTTAGTTGGCAAACTTTCTGGCTGCCAAAACTAGAAACACCATTTTCTGCAAGTACTTATTTCTCCAAAATCATAGTAGTGTCAGCCAGCCCCTGGACACTGGCCCCAACCACAAAAGCCCACTGGTGGGGACCTACATTGCTTTTATGTCTTTATTAAATATTTTTGCTATTGGATCGTTGACTACCAGATTGTCTAGTAGTAGAGGATATTACACTAAATGGGAGCTTGGGTTATGATTTGCATAACTGATTACCTCCAAACAACTATTATGAACTTAGAAAAAGTATCAAGTGGCCCCAGAGACTCCAGAGGTCCAGTAATAATATAAACAAATTCCATATAATAATGGAGGTTAAGGCCCTCCTTGTTGTGTTTGTAGAAATTTAAGGAGCATTTTTATTTTTTTATTTTTATTTTTTTTAATTTGGTATTTTTTATTTATTTTTTTGTTTTCAACATTTACTTCCACAAGATTTTGAGTTCCAAATTTTCTCCCCATCTCACCCCTCCCCCTGCCCCAAGATGGCATGCATTCTAAATACCCACCCCCTAGTCTGTCTTTCCTTCTATCTCTCCCCCACTTCTTTTATCCCCTTTCCCTTCAATTTTCCTGTAGGGCAGGATAGACTTCTATACCCCATTTCCTGTATTTCTTATTTCCCAGTTGCATGTGAAAATATTTTTTAAAACATGTGTTTTTAAAACTTTGGGTTCCAAATTTTCTCCCTTCATCCTTCCCCACTCACCCTCATTGAAAAGGCAAGCAACTCAATATAGGTTATACGTGTGCAGTTATGTAAAACACTTCCATAGTAGACAGGCCCTTAATCCTATCCTGTCCCCCCCCCATTTGTTCTATTCTTTCTTTTGACCCTGTCCCTCCTCAGAAATATTTGCTTCTGATTACTCCCTTTCCCAATCTGCCCTCCTCTCTATCATTCCCCTACCCTCTTGTCCCCTCCCCCCCTATTTTCCTGTAGGGTAAGACAGATTTCCACACCCAATTGAGTGTGTATGTTATTCCCTCCTTAAGTCAAATTCTATGAGAATAAGATTCACTCATTCTCTCTCACCTTCCCCCTTTTCCCCTCCATTGTAAGAGCCTTTTCTTTTCTGTTTTTTTTTTTGTAGGATAATTTACCCCATTCTACCTCTCCCTTTCTCCTTCTCCTAGTATATTCCTCTCTCACCCCTTAATTTTATTCTCCAGATATGACCCCTTCATTTTCAACTCACCCTGTGCCCTCTATCTATCTATATCTATATATCTGTACATATAATTTTTTCCCCTCTAACTACCCTAATACTGACAAAGGTCTCATGAGTTACAAATATCATCTTTCCATGCAGGAATGTAAACAGTTCAACCTTAATAAGTCTCTTATGATTTTCTCTTTTCTGTTTACTTCTTCATGTTCCACTCGAGTCTTGTATTTGAAAATCAAATTTTCTATTCAGCTCTGGTTTTTTCATCAAGAATGCTTGAAAGTCCTCTATTTCACTGAATGACCATTTTTTCCCCTACAGGATTATACTCAGTTTTGCTGGGTAGGTGATTCTTGGTTGTAATCCTATCTCCTTTGTTCTCTGGAATATTATATTCCATGCCCTGCGGTCCCTTAATGTAGAAGCAGCTAAATCTTGTGTTATCCTGATTGTGTTTCCACAATACTTGAATTGTTTCTTTCTGGCTGCTTTTAATATTTTCTCCTTGACCTGGGAACTCTGGAATTTGGCTACAATATTCCTAGGAGTTTTCCTTTGGGTATCTCTTTCAGGAGGAGATGGGTGGATTCTTTCCATTTCTATTTTGCCCTCGGGTTCTAAAATATCAGGGCAGTTTTCCTGGATAATTTCTTGAAAGATGATGTCTAGGCTCTTTTTTTGATCATAGCTTTCAGATAGTCCAATAATTTTTAAATTCTCTCTCCTGGATCTATTTTCCAGGTCAGTTGTTTTTCCAATGAGATATTTCACATTGTTTTCTAATTTTTCATTCTTTTGGATTTGTTTTACAGTGTCTTGATTTCTCATAAAGTCACTAGCTTCCAATTGCTCTATTCTGATTTTTAAGGAAGTATTTTCTTCAGTAATCTTTTGGATTTCCTTTTCCATTTGGCCAATTTTGCTTTTTAGGGCATTCTTCTCCTCATTGGCTTTTTGGACCTCTTTTGCTACTTGGGTTAGGCTATTTGTTAAGGTGTTATTTTCTTCAGTATTTTTTTGGGTCTCCTTTAGCAAGCTGTTGACTTGGTTTTCATGATTTTCTTGCATCACTCTCAGTTTTTCCTCTACTTCTCTTACTTGCTTCTCAAAATCCCTTTTGAGCTCTTCCAAGGCGTGGGATTGATTCATATTTTTCTTGGAGGCTTTGGATGTAGGAGCTTTGGCTTTGTTGTCTTCTTCTAGTTGTATGTTTTGATGTTCTTTGTCACCAAAGTAAGATAATATAGTCTGACTCTTTTTGCACTGCTTACTCATGATCCCGGCCAATTACTTGAGTTTTAAACTCTTTGTTAAGGTAAAAGTCTGCTTCCGATGTGAAGAGTGTACTGTCCCAAGCTTCGGGGGTTTGCACAGCTGTTTTCAGAGGTACTTCGAGGGACCTGTAAATTTTCAGTTCTTCCAATGTGGTATGATAAGGGGCGAGGTGTTTCCTCTCCACCACCACAACAAGCTCCACCACATCAGCACTCCTCCTAGCCCCAGGACCGCCCCTCAGAACTGTGACCCAGTTCCAAGCACAGGTAAAGCAAAAGATTCCTGCCTCAGCACTGGCAAAGAGATCCTTGCAATCCCCATCTGATAAGCCACTTGATTCCCCCTCAGTCTGTGGGCTGGAAGCTCAGGAAACAGTCGCTGCCCCCAGGGCACGCTTGGGACTTGAGGCTGAGACCTAGCTCCTCTCTCACCACAGTCACAGACTTTTCCCACTGACCTTCCACGTTGTCTTTGGCATTCAGCAGTAGAGAAGTCTGGAAACCGCTACAGCTGCCCGTGATTCAGTCCTCTGAGGCCTGCTCCAGGGTCGCTGCGGCCTGTGCACCCATGCTGCACTTGGCTCCTCTCCCAGCCCAGGGCGATATACCTTTCTGATCAACCATTCAGGCTGTCTTTGGCTGGAAATTTGTTTCACTCTATCATTTTTGTGGGTTCTGCTGCTTTAGAATTTGTTTAGAGCCATTTTTTTAGGTATTTGGAGGGCTTTGGGAGAGAGTTCAAGACAGTCACTGCTTTCCCTCCACCATCTTGGCTCTGCCCCCAAGGAGCATTTTTATTAAACTGATAGCAAGTCAAGGAGCAAGAATTATAAATTTAGAGATGTATAATTCTTTAGGTGCAGTGAAATATTTGGGAGAGGAAACAGGCATAGCGTTTTATCAATTTTGAAAGAAAAATGGAAATGAACAATAACAATTTTAAGACACTTCATTTATACATTACTCTAACTTAGGTCTGAGGGATCTGTGACCTCATCAGTATGGGTATTATCTCCATCAGTGCAGCTTACAATCCACATTTTTTTTTTTTTTTGGCTAGGCATTGGGGTTAAGTGACTTGCCCTGGGTCACATAGCTAGTGTCAAGTGTCTGAGGCCGCATTTGAACTCAGGACTGCAGAGCCGGTGCTCTATCTACTGCTCCACCTAGCTACCCCATTCTGAGCCACTCTTATTTGTATCTTTCCATAAAGTCAATGCACAGGGGTGGGGACCCTGTGGCCTTGAGGGCACGTGTGGCCTTCTAGGTCCTTGGGTATGGCCTTTTGACTGAGTTTTACAGAACAAATCCTTTTACTAAGGGGATTAGCTCTGTGAAGTTTGGCTACTTTGGCTATAAGACACTTTCTTTTTCTCCTCCTGCGGCTCCTCCACCCACTTTTCTGGCCATGTCTGCCTTGGATGACACAGGATGGTAGCTTTAGAGCTGGAGAGGGCCTCACTGGCCATCTCACCCAACACTCTTCTTTTACCAAAGAGGAAACCAAGGGCCCACCCACCGGGTTAAGTGAAGTGGGTCATGGGGTAGTAGCGTCAGAGATGGGACTTGAACCCAGGGTGTCTGGTTCTAGAGTTAGTGTCCTCTCTTCTGTAGCACACAGCTTTTTGATACCTGCTTTGCCACAGTCCCATAAGGACGACTTGGCCTTTCCGTTTAACTTGCAGCTGAACCCTCCTATGTGTTGTCTCCCCCTATTAATGTAAGCGAAGAGAGCAAGGATTGTCTTGCTTTTCTATATAAAACCCCAGCATTTTGCGTATAGTGAATGCTCTTTAATTAATTAGCTAATTAAATACCCTTTTCCTATGTAAGTCATTGTGAATAACGAACTGGAGCCTTCTTATTTGCACCATGTGTCTTTCCCATTGACCTATGAGTTATGCTCAGAACATTCCCTTAAAATAGGGAAGGGAAGGACACTTCAGGAAACTGAGGCAGAGAGAATAAATGGCTTGCTTGTGGTCATATTGTCACTCCTGTTAATGACAAAGCCAAGGTTAATTGATGGTTTCCTGAGAAAGCAATAGCATTCTGCCAGATACTAGTTGATTTGTTGAGATACACTGTGACAGAGTGGGTAAATTCTTAGACTTGGAATCTAAAAGACCTGGGTTCAAATCTTGACCCTGACATTTATTGCTATGTAACCATTGCAAGTCACTTATCCTTCTTGAACCTCAATTTCCTCATCTGTAAAATGGGTCTAATGGTATCTACTTTGTTTGGCTCAGAAGAGATAACGTGTGTGTATGTGTGTGTGTGTCTGTATGTGTGTGTGAATTTGTAAACTTTAAAGAAGTTTATAAATTTTATTATTTTATTTATTATTATCGTAGTCAAAAGTATGGGTTGACAGTGTTCTTTTCCCCAAACATTGGATGTTGAATTGTTACTGCCATTCGTGTGTTCAGGCCAGGTCCTTTGACACAGATTGCAGAATCCTGTGGCTGCAGTAACCAGCAAAAGTGTTGTTTTAAGAAATTAACCCTCCTGGCTCTTTAGAGTATAGTAACTCTGTGACCTTGCACATGCTAGACTGGGACTTACCAGGTTTTCCTAACCAGGTTGTGTTCCTTGTTGTGTAGATGCCTTCAGGGCAGCCTCCCATTTGAAGTTGGCCCCCTGAATGAGGACAATTCCCTTCTTGAGATCTGCAGTGGAAGGGGTGAGGCTTCTTTTCTGGTTTACAAATAAAAATCAAATCTTGTTTTCAGGATCCCCCAGTGATCAGTTTTGGGAAGACCTGTGTGGTAGCAAATTTAGGAAGAAAGGATGATGCTTTAAGGTGTTGGGAGTCATCTAACATCCAATGGAAAAATTGGCAGAAAAATGTTGCTCTGAAAAGTCAGGTAGGTAGACATTATTGATATTGAGGTTCAGTGGATAAGGCCAGGAGAGGAGAGAAGAAGTAGACCCTGCTATTTGGGAAAGAAATGGAGGTCTTCCTCGGTGCTTCCATGTACATACTACAAAGGACTGGCTCCAATTTCTGAGGGTGGTGATTGCTGATTTCAAAGCACTTTACAAATGTGAGGTATTAAATAATGAAAATAAGACCTGCTGCGGATAGGATCTTGTATCATTCGTTTCTTGTCAAGATGTATCTTGCCACCAGATTTGACACCTTGGAGACCTCTTACAGTGAGCTGTGAATACATTGCATTGGAGCATCAAAACTAGGTATGCTCTCCAGCTGATCTTAATGTAAAGAAAATGGCAACCCTCAATGTTTCAATTTCTTTTTTTAAAATTAATTTCCGTGACACAGCCCAGTAAATCACATAGACATTCAGCAGGATATACATCTGAGAGGCATCTTTCTGACCCAGGTCTTCTCTGACATAAACAACTAAAAAAAGTTGTTTCAGGGTCTCTAAGACTGTTTTCTGTTGCTTTGCTACTTATTTCTGTTCCCATTAAAGAGTTTACTGGTTCAGTGGTCAAAAGCAAACAAACAAACAAAAAGAAATGGGAAGAGTTTTAGAAGTCTAGTCTAGTGCATATGGGATTAAGCTAAATTAGAGGTAATTTTACTTATCTCCCAGGATTTTGAAGTAAAACTAAAAGAGTCCTTAGGGAAAGTATTCTTATTGCCACAAGAAAAATAATAATTTGTGTTATTTTTTTAAATGTCAGAAATAGATTTCTCAGCCTGATTTCTAAAATCCTCTACAATTTGGCTTCTACTTATTTCATACGTAATGGAGGTCCTAGGAGCTAGTTCTATGCAGTGGTGTCCTGGTAAATGTTTAACAAGCTTCCCTCCCCATCCCCCACACCCCAAAAAGTATGCAGGACTCACTTTTCAATTTAATCTGCACTATTAACATTTTCTCCATCACTTTCATAAGTTGAGGCAATCGACAAAACAATAAATCAAGCCCTTATTTATAGCATTTACTGATGTCCAAGGTGTGAATTACTCACTCTAAAAATTTAACAATCTGCTCAAGAGAGGTGATTTGAACAGGATCCAGCACATTCCTGGTTCTGTGATGTGTATTCTGGGGAGACGAAAGAAAAGAGGGAGAGATGGATAAAGAGAGAGGTGAAGGAAAAGGGTGAGAAGGAGAAGAGGAGGAGTTGAAGGAGAAGAGGGGGAGGTGAAGGAGGAGAGGGAGAGATGGATGAAAAGAGAGAGGTGAAGGAGAAGAGGAAGAGGTGAAGGAGAAGAGAGGGAGCTGAAATTGTTCTCTCCCCTTAGTCTGCTGAGTGGACAGTTCTTCCTGCCTCTGGGGCCAAGCCTCTTGAGACATTCCTTGCCCCTGCTTCTTTCGTGGGAACCAAAGGATTTTAGTCAGCCCAAAGCCTGGGCACCTCGGCATTGAGCCCTACAGGCGGCACGTGGTCCTTTGATGGTGGTGGCCTTGCAACTGTTAGCTGATTACCTCCATTACACACATTACTTTACTCTGCTCCATCTCTATTCCAGTCCCACCGACCTGCTAGCCCTTCTTTGGCACATGGCATTATCTCCTGACTGTGCATTTCATTGGCTGTCCCCAAGCCTAAATGTTCTCTCTCATCTCTACCTCTTGGCTTCCTTGAAATCTCAATGAAAGTCCTACCTTCCGAAAGAAGCCTTTTCTGGTCTCTTTTAATGCCAGTGCCTTCCCTCCATTGATACTCTCTAATTTATCCTGTCCAAATCTTGTTTGCACGCAGTCATTTTCACGTTGCATCCCCGTTAGATTGTAAGCTCAGGGTCTTAAGGTGAGGGACTGTCGTTTGCCTTTCTTTGTATTCTTAGAGCATAGTCCAGCACCCGGCAAGTAGTAGGTGCTCATTGATTGATTCTCAACATATTTGCATATTTGGGAGCTATGTCAGCTTCTAGTCCAAAGGCAGTTTCTCCTGCATTTGAACTTTTCAGAGAATTATCCATGACAGCCTCACATTATTCATTACGCTTGCAGCTTGTCTAGCCTTCCTTTGCCTTTGTTCACTTTCAGAGGTGTCTCACCCCACTGCCGTCACTCCTGAAGGAGCCCTGGAATGTCACGGGGAAAATGCAGATCTGTGCGAGACCCAAGTGCCTGTGGAAAGGTCTGTGTTGGAAAGACATGAGAAGATGGAGTATGGGTAGTGCCTGAAGAAGCTCAGAGAAAAGTTTTTTCTTTAATCCATCTTCTTTCTGTCAAGTTGTAGAAATTCTTTTCTTTTGAGGTAAGATGGAAAAGACTCCAGAGTCAGAGGACCTGGGTTCTAATCACACCTCTCAAACTCAGGCAAGTCTTATAACATCCTGGGCCTCAGTTTCCTCATTTGTAAAAAGGGACCGGGCTGGATGACCTCTGAGGTCCCTTCCAACTCTGGAGCTAGTCCTCTCTTCCTTCATTTTTCTTTTTCTTTTGTCTCTTTAAGTAGTATTATCCTTACTCAGAAGGGGGCCCTCTAGTGAGGTGGAGGTGCCAAGAACATAGAGAGAAGCTTGCTTTCTCTAATGATAACTGTCCTCTAGGATTTCTGAGACCTAAGGCACTTTCTTAAGTGTACAAGAGAACATGTTTTTGTGAGTGCATGTGCATAGAGCAGGAGCCGCATCTCTCCCTAAGCATGCTTGATGTGGCATAGGCATAGCAAAGGGGTGAGGGCATGACTGGAAACTTTGAGACTTAAGCAAAAATTTCAGATGAAGTCAGTCCCTCTCCTTTGCTGCAAAAGAAAGAAATCTTCAAGTCTTTCTTCAGGGCTGGGTCTAGTTATACCTACAGGAAAAGGAAAAAGCAAGCTGTTGCCATAGCGTCTTTCCTTTGGATTGACTTGACTGATTTTTGCATTTTTTCCACATGACCCAGAGGTTTCTAGTAATGATCCCTCCGCTGAGTGAGTAGCTGAGCCTCAGCTCCTAGTCTGACGTAGAAATAATGCACAGAAGGCACTGTTGCTGCTTCCTTGGAGGAAGATATTCTCTGTTGAATCACCTGAGCTTTGGAGACCCCCCCTTTAGTTTGTCCTTTGAGCCCAAAGAGCTTACTTGAATGGTACCCCTGTACCTCAAGATGCAGTCAGGAAATCTGGAAGCTATAGCCATGTCAAATTGTCTCTTCAGGCTACATTGGGTTCCACCAGAGGTTTCATGGGTGGGAGTAATGTCTGTAGGAGATGCTTGGTGAGCAACCTAGCCTCTGGGTGGAAACATCACTGGAAGAACTAGCTGTTCCTTTTGTGAATGTCTAGGAAAGCTGCCAGATATGTTTCCTTCTGGAATAAGTGTCTAGGTTGCTTTGGAAGGGTCACCATTAAATATGCTCAGGATTGATTGGGAGTCAGAAGCCCTGAATCCTAAATTGTAATTCTACTCCTCATCCTCCTTCTTTAGACTTTTGTGTAATCATTCATTCTCCCTTCCTCAGTTTTTCCAGGTGCTAAATGGGGACAAGTATAGCCAACTGTACGTTAGGATGGAGGCAAAAGCTTCAGACATTTTATATATTCTTTTAGGTGTGCAGGAATTTAAAGTTAGGAAAATGGGGAAAGCTAGGGACAGACCTTTGAGATCTCTGCTTTCAGGATGACTCTTTAAAATCAAACACAAACATCAATGGGCTTTGGGGAAATGTGTAGGTGAAAAGGAGAGGGGAAAATGTCTCCTCTACTTCCTCTTTTGATGTGACCAGCAACAAGCTTGTGTTTTAATAAGATTCTAGATACTTGATTTTGGTCCAAAAATTATGTAGCAGGTTGAGGCAAGGAGGGCTCTATCCTGTGTCTGCATTTTGACATTTTAGGGGATTTTTGGCATGAAGCACATCTGGCCTGAGGATGTCTAAGTCTGCAGCTGCGGCCCACATTTGATTACCTCATAAAGAGACTATTAACCCTACCCTGGTCCCTTGGCTTCAGAATCTGCAATCAACTGAGCAAAAATCCAACATTTGAAAAAAAAAAAGAAAGGATGGCTTCTTTGCTTCCAAATAAGTGAAAAAACCTTGCTGGAATTGTCTTCCATGGTTTTAATATAGGAGTTCTTGACCTAGGGGTTAAACTCCTAGATTTCTTGGGGTCCATGAACTTGGATGGGAAAAAAAAATTACTAACCTCTAGCTGGAAGTTAGCATAGCCTTCAATTATTTAGAAAGATTATTCTAAAGAGTCCCTAGGCTTCACCAGACTGCCAAAGGGATCAATGACACACACACACACACACACACACACAAAGCTAAGAGCCCTGGTTCCAATCAATCAGTCCCACACTTTGGAAACCTGGACTAGGTTTGAGTCTTCCAGTTTAACAAAAGAAAAGGAATTTGCATGATTTGTAGTGGAGATGGTTGAGAGCATGTTGGTAATTAACTGCCTTTGGTCTTTTTTGTAATGACCGATGTGTAGAACAGGGGTGTTTCTGGCTGTCCCATCGTCCTCTGCACAGGACTGCAAATTTTCTCAGCCGACAGATAGCTTCTTACACATGACAAAGTAGCTTCTTGCTGCAGCATACAGGGGTCCCTTGTGATATATTAGCTGTCTCATAAGCCACTCCACTACAGGACTGCTGTGTTTGTTGCATTGCTCATCGTGTGCACGAAGCTAGAGAAGCAGAAGCCACAGTCCTGTGGGTTTTGCCTTTGGGAGGGAAGTGTCTTTTGATTAAAATTTGACGCTATCAACATTTTAATGACTGTATCTTCAAAGTAGAAAGAATTAGCATTCTATATGCTGACTCTCATAGGTAAAATAAACTGGAAACAGTATCTCTAGACACCTTGATACAGAGATAATGAATCATAGAAATGGATCAATCAGTCAACCAATATTTATTGAATGCTTTGTGAAAAGTGCTCGCCAAGTAGGGCTTCACTTAACAAAGGTGAATTTTGGCCTGCTGCTTATATTAATATGCAAATGTCAATGTGGATTTGTGGATTCAAATAAAATAGTACATAGCCAAAGCATGTTCAAGCCAAGTCGTATTGCTTACAGTTGTATGTATGTATATATTTGTTTTGAGGCAATGTGAATAAAGTATTGGACCTAGAATCAAAAAGACCTGGGTTGAGATGTTGCCTCTGACACTATCTCTGTGGATAACACATGGATAATTTCCCTTTCTGCTCCTCAGGCAACTCACTAAGGCTTTTCTACTAAATTATAAATGGGTTATAATCAGCATGTGTCAGTCAGCGACACAGTCAATTAAGTATTTATTAAGTGCCTACTGTGTGCTGGACCCTGTGCTAAGATCAAAGGGTATAAAGAAAGCCAAAGATAGTTTCTGCCCTTGAGGAGCTCACCATCCGATCATGTGCACTGATGTACATGTATGTTCTTTAAATTAGAAAATGTCTTTTTATTGGTAAAAATAATACCCTCTAATTGCAGTTACTGCTGCTGCCGGCCTTTTCCCCTTCTCTCCTTTTCCACTTTAGAATGCAGCATGATTTTCATTTTCCCTACGTCTCTGGCACCTCTTTATACACATGAGGAAATATTTGAACATGTTCCCAGGACCCCCATGGAGTGTAGGATGGGCTCATCTTTGATTTGTTCCTTGTAGGCTGCAGGGATGGAATTCATAGAGAGGAGTTGGTGCATCATCAAAGTTTCAGTGACATGAAACTCCAGCCAGAGGTGAAGATGCATCTTACTGGCCTACGAGATGACTACTGTGAGTTTTTTCTCTTTCTTCTCCCAGCAGATAAATTGAAAGGTAGAAGTGAGCAGGGAAATTCAGAATGTAGACACATTGGGTCATTGGTTGTAGAATTTGGAGTCCTGCTTTCTCTCCTGGCCTCTGGCACTAACTCATCCTTTGAGTCTGGAAAAGTAATTTATTCTTTTGCATACCAATTTCCAAAATGGCCCATAATTTAAAAAATGATTACTATAGTAGTTGTTTGGGTTTCTAAATGCTGATATTGGGGGATGGGACTAGTACTTTTTTCTCTCTGTTACTGTCCCTTTCTCTGTGTGTGTGTGTGTGTGTGTGTCTCTCTCTGTCTCTGTCTCTCTCTTTGTCTATTTGTTTCTGTGTGTCTCTTTCTCTGTCCCTGTCCCTCTGTCTCTGTTTCTCAAATCAATCAATCAACCAATATTTATTGAATGCTTTGTGAAAAGCATTTACAAAGTAGGGCTTCACTCTCCCAGGTGAGTTGTACATGATTGTTATATGCAAATATTTAAAGAAAATAGCAAATAATCAAAGCATGTTCTAGCCAACTTGTCTCTCTCAGTTTCTATCTTTGTGTCTGTCTTTCTGTGACTATTCTCTTTGAAAACAGATAATTCTGCCAGAGCTGGCAAAATAATGAAAGATCAAATAGTATGCTAAACAGCTGGTCCACTGGGGATCCAGAGTATATAGTGATGTGGTGAGTATGGGGTCTTTGGGAGGCTGGGATCCAGGCAATGAATCTGTGTTGTCTAGACTCTAAATTGGGTCAAGGTTAAGCAATCTAACGAGAAAACTAATGGTGTAGGATGCATTCAGGTAGAGTGGGGACGTGTGTGTTGAACATAGAATAGAAATGAGATAGTACACAGACTGAATATTTGTGAATGAACACGTTTTTCATTATTTATAACAATAGATTTTAATTCTTTTGACTTTTCTTTTAATGAGGAAGAGTGACCATTTACCTTTTATAGGGATGTTTTAGATACTGTCATTTTAGAAAATTTCCTGTTGTCACAGCTATAGGCAAGTAAATGGCCTCAGTTTCCTTATATATAATATAATAATAGCACCTACTTCCCAGAGTTGTTGTGAGGATAAAATGAAATAACATGTTCAGGTACTTTGTAAACCTTAAATCCCTATATAAGTGCTAGCTATGATAATAAATGAAAAACAAAATAAACCACATAAATATATGCAATATTTATCTGGCAACAATTATTATAGAATGAAGAATCTTAGGCAGACAGAGGTTATAAGTGACTTATTCAGAGTCACAGAGCGAGTAATTTTCTATGCTGGTTCAGTGCTCTATCCACTGTGCCAACAAATTTTCTCCTTAGGGGCAGCTAGGTGGTGCAGTGGATAGAGCGCCGGCCCTGAAGTCAGGAGGACCTGAGTTCAAATCCGGCCTCAGACCAAACACTTGACACTTACTAGCTGTGTGACCCAGGGCAAGTCACTTAACCCCAATTGCCTAAAAATAAAAAATTTTCTCTTTAGATTGCCATGTCTTGATCCGATTTTGACTGTGGACAGTATAGACTCACTGCCCAGGTCCCAGCCTCTTAAGGACTGAGGTCGCTGTCCAGTTCACACTAACTTTCTGCAAGGTTAGGGGGAGAAAGTTAAATAGCTTGTTTGGAAAAGAGAGGATCTTTTTATACCTGAGTTAAGCTACAGAACAAACAGAGATAGTATTAACAGAAGGATTGAGGGAAAAATATGCAGAGGGTAAACATAGCTGGGAAAGAGAGAATAAGCCTTTATATAGCACCTACTATGTGCCAAGTACTATACTAAATGCATCATAAATATCTGATTTGATCTGTACAACAACCTTATGCACTAGGTGCTTTTCTTTTTATAACTGAGAAAGCTGTGGTTCCCAGGGTCTCACAGCTAGTATCTGAGGCCAGGTTTGAATTCCTGACTCCAGGTCTAGTGCTCGAGCCATTGGACCACCTAGCTGCCCTTGGTGTGAGTAACTGAGAGTTGACTCTATTTTTTGTGATTATCATGAGATAGAAAGCAAGACAGCAGCTTGTCCCTTAGATAAAGAATCTGGGGGCAGAGCCAAGATGGAGGAGTGAAAGTAGTGCCTTGCTTGATCTCTCCTGTAAACCCCTCCAAATACCCATAAAAAATGGCTCTAAACAAATTCTAGAGCAGCAGAGCCCACAAAAAGACAGAGTGAAACAAATTTCTAGCCAAAGACAGCCTGGATGGTTGATTGGAAAGGTCTATTGCGTCGGGCTAGGAGAGGAGCACAGTTCAGCATGGGCATGCAGGCAAAGACCAGGTCCCAGCCAACCTGGAGCAGGCCTCAGGGGACTGAATCATAGGCAGCTGTGGCAGTTTCCAGACTTCTAGACCCAGGAACACCAAAGACAACGTGGAAGGTCAGTGGGAAAAGTCTGTGACTGTGGTGGTGAGAGAGGAGCTAGGTCTGGTCCCAGTCCTGGAACAGTCCCAGGGTGGCGGCTGCTTCCTGAGCTCTCAGCCCACAGATGGTGGGGGGGGATTGAGTGGCTGATCAGAGGGAGATTGCAGGGATCTCTTTGCTGGTGCTGAGGCAGGATTCTCTTGCTTTGTCCGTGCTTGGATCTGGGTCACAGTCCTGGGTGGCGGTCCTGGGGCGAGAAGGAGCATTGGTGTGGTGGAGTTTATGGCTGCAGTGGAGAGTGAATCCTCACAGTTCCAAGGCAGAAAAGAGTGCTTATGGTCACTCATGGACCAGAGCATAGGCCAGGAAAGGAGTAAACACCTCTCCCTTGATCATACCACCTTGGAAGAACTGAAAATTTACAGCTCCCTAGAAGTATCTCTGAAAATAGCTGCACAAAATGCCTGAAGCAGACCCCTACCTTAACAAAGGGTTTAAACATCAAGTAATTGGCTGGGAACATGAGTAAACAGCATAGAAAAAAAATCAGACCATAGAATCTTACTTCAGGGACAAAGAAGATCAAAACATACAACCAGAAGAAGACAACAAAGTCAAAGCTCCTACATCCAAAGCCTCTGAGAAAAATATGAATTGGTACCAGGCCATGGAAGAGCTCAAAAAGGATTTTGAGAAGCAAGTAAGAGAAGTAGAGGAAAAACTGGGAAGAGAAATGAGAGTGATGCAAGAAAATCATGAAAAACAAGTCAATAGCTTGCTAAAGGAAACCCAAAAAAATACTGAAGAAAATAACACCTTAAAAAATAGACTAACCTAAATGGCAAAAGAGGTCCAAAAAGCTAATGAACAGAAAAATGCCTTAAAAAGCAGAATTGACCAAATGGAAAAGGAAGTCCAAAAGCTCACTGAAGAAAATAATTCCTTAAAAATTAGAAAGGAGCAAATGGAAGCTAATGATTTTATAAGAAATCAAGACATTATAAAAAAAAACCAAAAGAATGAAAAAGTAGAAGACAATGTGAAATGTTTCACTGGAAAAACAATTGACCTGGAAAATAGATCCAGGAGAGATAATTTAAAAATTATTGGACTACCTGAAAGCCATGATCAAAAAAAGAGCCTAGATATCATCTTTCAAGAAATTATCAAGGAAAACTGTCCTGATATTCTAGAAGCAGAGGGTAAAATAGAAATTGAAAGAATTCACCAATCACCTCCTGAAAGAGATCCCCAAAGGAAAACTCCTGGGAATATTAGAGTCAAATTCCAGAGCTCCCAGGTCATGGAGAAAATATTACAAGTAGCCAGAAAGAAACAATTCAAGTATTGTGGAAACACAATCAGGATAACACAGGATTTAGCAGCTTCTACATTAAGGGCCCAGAGTGCTTGGAATATGATATTCCATAGGTCAAAGGAACTAGGATTACAACCAAAAATCACCTAACCAGCAAAACTGAGTATAATCCTTCAGGGGAAAAAAATGAATATTCAGTGAAATACAGGACTTTCAAGCATTCTTGATGAAAAGTCCAGAGCTGAGCAGAAAATTCTACTTTCAAATAGAAGACTCAAGAGAAGCCTGAAAAGGTAAACAGGAAAGAGAAATCTTAAGGGACTTATTAAAGTTGACCTGCTTACATTCTTACATGGAAAGATGATATTTGTAACTCATGAGACCTTTGTCAGTATTAGGGTAGTTGGAGAGGAAACATATATATGTAAGTAGATAGATAGATAGATAGATAGATAGATAGATAGATAGATAGATGGATGGATGGCACAGGATGAGTTGAAGATGAAGGAGTGATATCTAAAAAATAAAATTAAGAGGTGAGAGAGGATTATACTGGGAGAAGGAGAAAGGCAGAGGTAGAATGGGGTAAATTATCTCACATAAAACAGACAAGAAAAAGCATTTACAGTGGAGGAGAAGTGGGGGAAGGTGAGAGGGAATGAGTGAATCTTATTCTCATTGGATTTGGCTTAAGGAGGGAATAACATATACATTCAATTGGGTATGGAAATCTATCTTACCTTATAGGAAAATAGGGGAGAAGGGGATAAGAGAAGGGGGGATGATAGAAGGGAGGGCAGATTGGGGGAGGGGTTAATAAGAAGCAAATGCTTCTCAGGAGAGACAGGGTCAAAAGAGAGAATAGAATAAATGGGGGGTGGGATAGAATAAAGGGAAATACAGTTAGTTTTTCACAACATGCCTGTTACGGAAGTGTTTTGCATGACTTCACATGTATAATCTGCATGGAGTTGCTTGCCTTCTCAATGAGGGTGGGTGGGGAGGGAGGAAGAGAGAGAATTTGGAACTCAAAGTTTTAAAAACAAATGTTAAAAATTGTTTTTACATGCAACTGAGAAATAAGAAATACAGGCAACGGGGTATAGAAATCTATCCTGCCCTACAGGAAAATAGAAGGGGAAGGGAGTAAGAGAAGGGGGAGGAGATAGAAGCAAGGGTAGATTAGGGGAAGGGGTATTTGGAATGCATGCCATCTTGGGGTGGAGGGAGGGATGAGATAGGGAGAAAATTTGGAACTCAAAATCTTGTGGAAGTGAATGTTGAAAACTAAAAATAAATTTAAAAAAAGAATCTAGATTGGTGCATTTTAAAAAGTAATCAAATATGATTTATTTCAGTAGCAAGAGTTTTCTAATAACCTAGACTAGAAAGGAATGCCGAAAACCTTCTTATTTTATATAATTGATTAATGGGGAGCTAGGTAGTGCAGTGGATAGAGCACCAGCCCTGGAATCAGAAGGAACTGAGTTCAAATCTGACCTCAGACACCTACTAGCTGTGTGACCCTAGGCAAGACACTTAACACCAATTGAATCCAAAAAACCCCAAAACAAAAAATGGAATAGTTCTTTCCTCTTGACAGTCAATCTCCATCTGGTGGAGATGGGGTTTAGAGTTGTGTCTCCTCCCAAATATATTATATGATGTATTATAAGAGCAGCATGTTTGTAATTGCAGGAACTGGGTGGGCTGTTGCTTATATGCTAATAAAGTAGTAAAGGAAAGTGTCCTGCTCCTTTAGTCCTCTTATCAGATGCCCTTGACCTCACCAAAAAATGGAATTGCTTCCTGGACTGCCATTAGGGGGTATATTTGGGCTCCGTTTTTTCTCCTATCACTCACTTGGCAAATCCATATTTATAAAAAGAGAATAATAATGCCTGCCCCCTCATGCCTCACAGCATTAAGATTAAATGTGTTGAGAAAGTCAGATAATAACTTTATCTCACTTATGCAAGTCTAAGAGATGTTTACTTTAGGATTCTGTTATTGCTAAAGAAAATGATTTATTATAGCTCTTTCTTTTCCTCCCTCCCTCTCTCCCTCCTTCCTTCCTTCCTTCCTTCCTTCCTTCCTTCCTTCCTTCCTTCCTTCCTTCCACCCTCCCTCCCTTCCTTCTTTCCTTTTTTCCTTCCTTCCTTCCAGATCTAAACATCCTGGACTGATTCTGAAGGTCTTCTTGCTCTTGCCCTTGGGTCTGCTGTACACATCTGGAATGGTGAAAGCCACGATGGGATGGGACACATAGACTTGAGTCCTTGGTCCAACTATATCTCCTCAGTTTCCTGGATAAAAGAGGGAGCCTGCCTGGCCATTGGCACCAGTGAGGGAGAAATACAAGTACTGAATGTTTTGTTCTTACATACATTTTTGGTCATGTTGGACCAACAATATTTAGATCTTTCAAAGCTCCTTTTAATTGGTAGGTTAATATGAAATGTAAACTCTTGAATAGGAGAAAGACTTGAGGCTACTGTGGCTTCAGGGGAGGTGGCATTAAAATTCTTTCCTGTTGTCCTTATCTTCCCTCACTTTCTTTTTCTTCTTTCCTTCCTTTGATGTGGGTCAAGCTTTCTTCTTATGCCCCATATTTGTGCAAGGAAGAATTGCACAACATTAAAAGTTTCATTCATCATATAGATTAGAATACTGGCAACATTGCTGACTAGGAGACACTTAGCTGCAAAAGAAAAACAAACTTGACTTCCTACGGGGAACATGGAGGAGACCAATTAAATTTTACAATCTGCTTCTAGGCAAACTACAGCTAGAGCTCAAAATTTAATAGTAATAATTTTAATTATTTATAATTATATTATATAATTATATTATTTTAATTATGATTTTTGTTTATACTTTATAATAATTTATTTATATAATTTATGCCACATTATATATACATTATATATGCCACATTATATATAATACATAATTATATACATATTATTTAACTACAAGTTTTTAATAACAGCCAGAGAGGGGGTGTGGCCAGGGCTAACGATGCTGACCATCAGCCAACAGAATACTGGCCTCCTCAAAATTAACTGACCCATTAATAACCAGCCCTGCACAGATTAAATTAGGCTTGTAGAAGCACCAATAGAACACTGATGTGGTTATAATCTATTTATTTCTTTTCAATCCCCAGTTATGGGATGTGGTGATTAAAAAGAGGCTGCGAAATATGGTTGGTCATATTTCAGTAGTTGGGGCTTTGAGCTGGAATCATTGTGTCCTCAGCAGGTGAGAAGTACACTGTTGGAGCCAATGATGTTTAAACATCTTGCAGTTTTGTGTGTGTGTGTGTGTGTGTGTGTGTGTGTTTAATTGTAATTGAGCAATGGGACTGGGTTAGCAAAATGAATCAATTTAAAAAAAGATCAATGAGTCAATTGTTGTATTTTTATATCTTCAGGTATTCAGTTGTAGAAATGGTGTAACTGATTACCTCAGGTGCTTTCTGCAAATGTTATTCTTGAAACCTGTGGGCTCAGTATTCAGGACTATATTGTTTAAATATAAAACTCTTTCCAAATAAAAATTTTTTTTAGCAGAGCTTTTCTCCCATACACACTAGTTGGTGATCCTCTTGGAAATCATGTGATCATTGCTATGATTTCCATTACTTTTGCATTAAATTAAGTTTTATGGAACATTGTTCTGTTCCTTAATCTGAAAATTTTAGGTCTGTCATATAAATCAATTTATTTCTGAAAAGGAAATTTCAGGCAGAAGTTTCATTCTTAGTTATTCAGAGGATTTCTAAATGGGTCAGAAGTGACCAATGGCATCTATTTAACAGGGGTGGGAACCTGTGGCCTTGAGGACACATGTGGCCCTCTAGGTCCTCAAATGCAGCCCTTTGACTGCATCCAACCTTCACAGAACAAATCCCCTTAATAAAAGAATTTGTTGTGTAAAATTTGGACTTAGGCAAAAGGCCGCACCCAAGGACCCAACAGGCCACGTGGCTTTGAGGTTTCAGGTTGTCCACCCTGGATATTATTTTTTTTAAATAATGTTTTATTAACGTCTATTATCTTTATATGACATTCATTTCCTGCTGTTCTTCCAGATTGAACCCTTCCTTTTTACAAGGGCATCTGTTATAGGTTCTGTATTTGACAATGTTTGCAAAATTTTGTCCTAGTAGCCCCTTACCTTTCTGCCAAGAGGGAGAAGGTATGCTTCATTATCTTTTCTTTGGGATCTTCATTTTTTTTTCTATTACTCAGAGTTCATTTTAGTGATTTTTAAAGTTTATATTGTTTTACTCACTGTGTATATTATTCTCCAGTTTCTATTTTGCTCTGCATTAATTCTCACAAATCTTCCCATAGTCATCATTTTTTGAAGCACAATAATATTTAATTATATTCTTTATTACACTATGAATTTATTTTAATTCTTTACACATATGCTCCTGACAATAAGACTATCATAATAAGATGTCATAATTTACTCATATCAGCCCTAGATAAATCTAAAGAAAATTAACAAGAAGAAAGTTAATGACATGAATAGAATTTTGGAAAATTAGATATGATTGATCTTTAGCAATTATTGAATGGAAACAGGAGTATTCATATTTCTTTTTTTTTTTTTACTTTATTAGTCAATTTTGATTCATCAACAATCACCTCCACAGTCCCCCGAGTTCCAAACTTCTCTCCCTCTCCCTCTCCCTCTCACTCCCCCACCAAGACAGCACGCAACCGATACAATCCAGCTACACACATACATTCCCACCAAAGAGTATTCATGTTTCTCAGCTGTGCATGGCATCTTTACAAAAATTGATCATGTCTTAGGACACAAAAATCTCATAAATGCAGAAAAGGAGAAATATTATACACATCCTTTACTGATTATAATGCAACAAAATCATATCAAGGAGTCATTAAAAGTATTAAAAATCAATGAGAGACTAAATAACAAATCCTAAAGAATTGTTGGGTCAATGAAGAAATCACAGAAGCAATGGAAAATTTCATTAAAGATAATGACAATGATGAGAAAATGTTTCAAAATTTTGGGGATATAGCCAAAGTAGTTCTTAGGGGGAACTTTTATTAACTAAGAAAAAGATAAGAGAAAGAACAAATCAGTGAATTGGGAACACAACTAAAAATACTAGAAAATCAATAAGTTAAAAACCTTTGAATATATTCAAATACCATACTTTTCTAGCCATTCCCTGTCTGTTTTTTTGCTACCACAAGGAGTCAATAGCATCTATTTTTGCATTCTAGGGATCTTTGGATAATTTTATCACTGATTTACTGGAAGTCCCTTTATATTTTTTTGATGGTCTCAGAATTCTTGTACAGTATACGTAGTTGAATATAACCTAGGAGGTGATGGTCAACCATGCTTCTTTTCTTTCCATACAGTGGTTCAAGACTGGGCCATATTCGTCATTATGATGTTCGAATAGCTCAGCATCACGTTGGAACACTTTGACATGAGAGAGCTATATGTGCCCTATATATATGGTCACCAAGTGATAAGCTGCTTTCCCGTGGTTGTATTGATGGGCTATTGAATATATGGCCCTATGATCCTGGTGCCAAATTCTGTTAACCACTAAAAGTCCTACATCATTCTACAGCAATTAAGGTAAGAAAGTCAAAAGCTTTTTTTGGTTAAAGAGTGTTCAGTTCAACAAATTGGGGTATCTAGATGGTGTAGTGGATAGAGTGCCAGGCCTGGGGTCAGGAAGGCTCATCTTTGTGAGTTTGAATCTGGCTTCAGACACTTACTAGCTGTGTGACCCTGGGTAAGTCACTTAACCCTGATTGCTTCAGTTTCATCACTGCAAAATGAACTGCAGAAGGACATGGCAAATCACTCCAGTATCTTTGCCAAGAAAACCCCCCCAAAGAAGTCAGAAAGAGTGAGATACAACTGGAAAAGGACTAAACAACAACTTCAACAAATACAATTTGATTAACGTTTATTAAGTACTTATAATGTATTAGTCACTGAGGGTACAAGAATAGATGACAAAAAAGAGAAAACAAACAGCCCCTACCTTAGTCTCACTATCCCCCCATTCTAAATAATAATAGCTTACATTTACATAGCAATTCAAGACTTGCAAAGTGTTTTACATACATTAACTCATTTGCTTCTCCCAATAGTCCTGTGAGGTCAGTGCTGCAGGTATTATTAGGCCTATGTTATAAATGAGGAAATGTAAGCTCAGGGCAGTCACATGACTTTCCCATGGTCACACAGCCAATAAATGGCAAAAGTATGATTTGAACTCCCCATCTCTCTTCACTTCAAGTTCAGAATTTTTTCCATTATACTACATCATATTCCTCCAAAGTATAATACTTTAAGCATGTGATAGGGGAAAGACAGTGGTTTCAAACTCAAAGAGAAATGGTGGGACAGGAAGGGGAGAGAGCAGTAAATCACATATAAGGATCCCTATGGGTGAATATTGAGTTAGAAAACCAAATATTAACATAAGTGTGCTTTATTATATTTCTGTTTATTTTGTTAACCACTTCTCTATTTCATTTTAATCTGGTTCACACCACTGGGCAGTATAGTAGCATTGAGGAGTGTTGGGTCACACCTGGCCATGGGTTGTTGTTGTTGTTCTAGAAGAGGAACATCAGGGAGGTGATGCCATGACTTGCAAGTGAATTGAATTTAAGTGGAGGGCTGTGCAAAGTCAATAGCCTCACTCTTTCCTTTGGAGCTATCTGGGTCCAGTGGCAAGGCATAGATCAGGATGACTGGACATGGCCCCAGATGCAGTGGGGGACCTTGGACTTTTTAAGCTAAGGTCTTTCGCAGGTCTCAGTTTGACTGAGGCAATGCCCATTCAGTGATTAAGGCTAGGTAAGAAATGAAGCAAAGAATGGCCTCTTTTACCTAGTCAAAAAAAAAAAAAAGTCAATCTGGGAGGGGAAAACCCTCAGGGTTTCTGGCCAAAACACAAACAACTGCTATTTACTCTGAGCCTTCAGGGCCCAAACAATGACCAACTGAGGCTCGGGCTGGGACCTATTATGGGCCAATCAATGATAGCCAGAGTGATTTGGGTTTAAGGCATGGTCCTTAAGAAAGAAATCTAGCCAGTAAACCCCAAGATAAGTTTCAACCCAAGAGGTTTCAGCGATCAAAATGCATATACTCCTTTGGGCAGAGCACCTGCTTGTTTATAGGAAGGAAGAGAAAACTTTTGACTAGGCAGATATGGAGGAGGTGGCCCATGGCATAGGTTTTGAAGAGATGAAAGTATCTAAACAAGGAGCTACTAGGGTGGTGCACATGAATGTGGAAACAGGAAAGTGCAGGATGAGACGGGGACTAGATGGAAACTCAGCTTAGCTGGAATATAGCAAATATGGGAAAGAAATATAAAATAAACTTGGAGACAGATTGTTGAGGGCCTTAAGTTCCATGCTAAAGAGATTGTATTGTATCTTAAAGATTATAGGGAGTTGTTGAAAGTTCCTCAACATGGTTCATGTGACCAGACTGATACAATTAGAGCTCTGTATTAACTTAAGGCAATGGGGATGGAATGCACCTCACACATAAGGAGCTAAAATCTCTTTTGTCTAAGGAAATCTCTATGGAGAGGTAGCCTCCACAAGTAATCTACAATAAAAGGATGTAACATAGAATATTAATCATTAATATTCAACACAAAACCAATTCAGTAGCCACTATTTCCTTTATATAACAGTGGAAATAAATGGTAAGGAAAGAACAGAGAGTGTGAGGATGAAAGAGACAGTCTGTACATAAGCGCAGTAAGTGCTGGGCATTGCTAATCTGTAGCAAGAGTCCGTTTTCCCTTTTAGTTCTTTCTTCTCAGGAAGAATCAAGATAAAACTCTGCAGGTGTGAAGTACTTCATTGTTGCTACTTCCTTTTCCTACTCAGAGTCATGGCAGAAAGTTTTAATCTCTAAGAGGGATTTGGGGTCATCTCACCAAACCTATTCCTATCGTCACCACATCTGTCATCACCACTCACACAATCTCTCTGGGCCCAGTAGCAACTGCATTGTTAATGGCAGTGGCAGGTGCAATAGTCACAGCTCCCTCTCAGTCTTTGTATGAAGTTATCAGGAGGGCAAAAATCAGGAGACCAGCTAAGTAGTGCTGTTTTGTTTTTTCTTCTGATAAAATCTACCTGATGGCAAGATGTGAGATAGGGATTTCTGTGCCTTTCACAGAGATTTCTGGGAGCAGAAATCTCTGTGAAAGACACAGAAATCCCTGTCTTATGATTTCAGTGCTGGTGGGATTCTGGGGAAGCATCTTTCATTTCTCATCTCATATTGATGCTGATGAAGGGTTACATTAGGAAGATTATTTTTGGCAGCTGTGTGAAGAAGGGTAAATTGGTGACTGAAGAGACTGGAGGCAGAGAGCCTATTTAGAAGGTTATTACAATAACTCAGGCAAGAGATGATTCTAGGCCTGAGACTAAGATGTTTGGAATATACGTAGAGAAGAGAGAGAGGACAGATGGAGGAGAAATTGTGGACATGGCTTTCACAGCAGTGGTTGATTGGATTTGGGATGTGAGAGAGAAGGAATGAAAAATGACCAAGGTTTTGAGCCTGGGTGATTAGAACTATGGCAGTGCAATTGGCAGAGATAGGGAAGTTAGGAGAAGGGATGAGTTTGGAAGGAGAAGATGGGGAGTTCTCTTTTTGAAATGGTTTAATTTGAGATGCTGGTTGGATGTTCAGGTGGAGATGTCTACCAGACAGTTGGAGATAGAGGGCTGCTGCTCAGGTAAGAGAAAACAGTTTGATATACAGATTTTGTAGTTGTTTATATAGAAGTAATCAATGGAGCCATGGTAGTACATAAGTTTCTTAAGGAGTGGAGTGAGGAGGCATGAGGACGGAGCCTTGGTGGATACTACACGCTTAGGGGGTGGGAGGAGGAAAATGAATTCACAAAGCCTGCCCGGTGGTTAGGAGTGGTTATATAGGTGTGAGAAGAACCGAGAGGATAAGTGTCTTGGAAACCAGGAAGGAGAGCATATAAGCAAAGGAGGAGGTGGTCAACAGTATCAAATGCAGAAAGGTCAAGGAAAAATATTTTTGGACTGGATCTGGGATTTCATTGATGAAAATTCTTGATGATGAACCCCCTCCACCAGTAAAGCTCAGCACCTGCTTCTTCAGCTTATGGTTTTAGAGAATTGCCTGGGGCATGGAAAAATTAAATGACACACCTAGGGCCACCCAGCCATTATCTTGCAGAGGCTGGACTTGAAGAGGCAGTGCGACATGATAGAGTGTTGTCTGAGTCAGGAAGTTCCTGGTTCAAATTCTGCTTTTGAAATTTATCACTGTATGACCATGAGCTAGTCACATAACCTCTTTAAGCCTTCCTCAACTGTAAAGTCAGGAGATCTAGGGTCTCTATTAGCTGTAAATCTGGGGTCCTATGCAGCTAAGTCTTCCTGGCTCTCCACACACTGTGTGTCACGCTGCCTCTCGAAGAAAGATTAGAAACATGGCATTAGAGACAGTGGAGTGGTTGGGGCTCAGCAATAAGTGAAAGGTGAGAAAGCAGCAGCAAGAATCATAGACTGCTCTTTCTGGACTATTAACAGTGAAGCAGGGGTAGCCTTGAGGGTTTTTGGTTTGTTTTACGAGAGGGAAAGCTTGAGTATGTTTGTGGAAAGCAGAGAAGGATCCAGCAGAGAGGGAGAGATTGAAGATGAGAGAGAATAATTGATGGAGTAAGGTGCAAGTGGAGATGAAAGGGCCTGGGATCCAGGGCGTAGTAGCAGTGTTTGTTTGCTCATCCTTTGTTCCTGAAGGAGACCAATGATGGCAGGAGGGTGATGTCTTGACTTGCAAGTGAGTTGGATTTAAGTGAGACAGAGCTGTGCAGAGTCATCAGCCTCAGCCCTCCAGAATCATCAGAGTCTAGCGGAATGCTTTGACAAGGAGGCAGACCACTTTATTCTTTGAGGAAGGGTGAAGAAGTCGATTCGGAGGAGTAGAAGAAGGGAAGAGATCTGAAGCTCATGATGGATGACTTTGGGCTTCTCAGACAAGATTGTGATGAGAAAGGGTGATGGGGCTGGAGGAGAGAAGTTTGGAAAAGCGGCTGTGGGGAATTTGTCATGGAGTCAGAGAGTGATGGAAGCACTGCTGTGCAATTGGGGTGTTGGTAGGGGGGTCAGTAGGTGATATTCTCCCCACTTCTAGCTCCTTCTTTCTGAGATTACCCCCACCATTTACACTGTATACATAAGCTCCTTGAGGGTGGGGGCCTTTTTTTTTATTGCTTTTCTTTAAATCTCCTATGCATAGCATAACATTTGGAACACAGTAATTGCTCAATAAATACTTGTTGGTTGATTGATAATTAGCTTGAATAGAGATTGATCTTCAGACAGTCACCTAATCTGACCTACTGACCTAATTGATGCATATACCATTTCCTGGGGTCCTCAATTCTTCTGGAGGGGAAAGATTTCTTTATTGACTGTGCAAAGTATTGAACTTACAAAATGAAAACTTATCTACATTTTAAGGCTATGAACTGGTGTCCTTGGCAATCTGAAATCCTTGCTGTTGGAGGAGGTATGAAAGATGGACATTTACATGTCTGGGATATAAACACTGAGAACAGCATCCAGAGTCCATGTACAGAATCACAGGTAAACTCACGAAACAGATTTGAACTTATTCTGCATTCACTTCATTTTGGTTCTTCCAGTATTTTAAATAACATTTTGTGGTGAAGTACAGGTCCAAATCACACCTTTCATTACTTGTTGTTTATGCAAAAGTGTCAATTTGCTAAAATTTCTTTCCTGTATAGCTCTTTCATCTAGTAATGCTATTTTCATTATTTAACTTGCCTCTTTTCATTCATCTCCTCCTCACTTCTCACCATTGATTTGCCGGGGAAATTGGACGAAAGGCCAATTCCAGCTTAATGCCTCTCACATCGTACTCAAGGGTATGAGTGGCATCCTTGTTCTACAGTGGTTTGAATGAGTAGAACCAGAATAGACTTTCTTCCCTATAGAAAAACTACCCTTTCTAGATGTTATTTAGACTGTATTTCATATTGTGTTTATGACTGAAACAAAAATGGCCACAACTCTATAATTTATTTGAATCTTCAACAGATTTGTTCCCTGATCTGGTTACCTAAGACAAAAGAGATTGCAACTGGCCACGGTATTCCTAAAAATGAAGTGACTCTATGGAACTATCCCCTTCTGACCCAGTCTGGTGGATTTTTCGGTAAGTAAGTGGGTGAATCAAATGTGTGGTCCTACAGTCAGTAAATTTTTATTAAGCACATATTATGTGCCAGTTGTACCCTACTGTGTGCTAAGCTCTGGAGATACAAATACAAAGAAAGATAGTTCCTGCCCTCAAAGAACTTAGAATTTAGTTGGGGAAGACAATAGATAAAAGGAAGCCGAAAAGTGATGGTGGGGGGTGGGAAGAGGAACAAGGTGAAATAAATTACTCTTCTTTAATTGGCCTGAAAACTGGAGTGGAGAGGGAATAACTTACTGGAGTTTGACTGAAATCAGGTGGTTGTTGTTTAAATCTTTGGGCCTCCTTCTCTTGGCATTAATTTTGGGGGATATGGTGACAACATTAGGCAACTGAACACCAATTCTAAGCCCACTTAGTACCTTGTGTCCCAACCTACCTCACCTCACCTCAAACGCAAAAATGCTGCCTGGAAGGGTAGGAGATGAGGCAACATGAAAGGGCTAAATTTCTAGGTGTGAAACTTTGATTCATCGATGCTAGATGTAATGTGGTCACTCAAAACCCTCATGCTTCCTGTTTGCTCCGGTCCTGCCCTCTGAGGGAAGACTGCTTCTTATTTACTGACAATTCTAATCAGAGCACCTCAGAGGAGGTTCTTAGTCCTAATTGGAAGAATAGGGAGCACAGCCCCACACTGAGAGGGCCCTTGGGAGCTGGGGAGGCTGATGGATGGCCTAAGGAGGCAGCCTGGTATGATGGCCAGAGCACATCTGGAGTCAGAAACCCAGGGCTTGAAGCCTAGCTCTGCCCTGACTGCACTGTAACCTTTGTCTCTCTGACCTTCATTTTCCTTATCTGCTTCATGAGGGAATGGGACTAGATAATCCTTAAGATTCCTTTCAGCTTGGAATCTATAGTCTATGAATTAGATATCATCAACATTAAATGTGTATATGGGCACAGAGTAGGTGCTATATACATATATATATGTGTGTGTGTATATATATATTGCTTTTTGGCTAGGCAGTGGGGTTAAGTGAATTGCCCAGAGTCACACAGCTAGTGTCAAGTATCTGAGGTCAGATTTGAACTCAGGTCCTCTTGACTGCAAGGTTGGAGCTCTATCCACTGCACCACCTAGTGCCCCCGTGGTTTATAATTGCTCACTAAAAAAAAAACAAATTTGTAAAAGATCCATGGGGTCTTTTTTTTTTTTTTAAAGATTCTCTGATGTTATCTCTCAAGGTAGTATAATGGATAAGGTGCTGGATTTAAAGTCAGGAAGACCTGGGTTCAAATTCTGCTGCCGACATTTATTAGCTGTGTAACTCTGGGCACGTCTCTTCACTTCTCTGGCCCTCAGTTTCTTCATTTGCAAAGTTCTAAAGCTATGATCCCATGATCTGCTGAATTAGTATTCATAGAGTTTAGTAATTATATTTGTTCTTCCAGCATGAGGTGGCATTCCAGAGAATATTAACACATGTCTTATTGTAAAAATTACTCTGTTTACAGAAACCTTAATAACTGCAGTTGTGTTAGACACACAGAACCTTAGCCTTATGATCCTCAAAATACAGGACTACCCGCTCAGACTACTCCAGTGGACCTGTCATCTCAAATGCCGGAGTGTGCTGCCTTGAAGCAAACTAACAGAGCTGATTGTTAAATTTTCGATGTGATCATTTATACCTCAGAAATTGGCCAGCTATGTATTGGGCTTGATTTTCTGCTTTGTTGATTGCTTAGATTTAAGAAAGTGATAGAAAAAATGTTTAATAATGTAGATCAGACTTGAAAGTGTGTCCTTTACACCTTCCTCCCCCTTCCTCAAAGCTGGTTCTTAAACATTTACACTTAAAAATTACACATTGCAGGATGTAGGTATTCCCTACAATGAAGCAGAAGGAGCTCATCCATGCCTGCCCATCCTGTGACGCTCTTCTCTCCATCTCCCAATAAATTAATTCACCACTGGGGGCCTTCACCAATTTGCCAGGGGATCTCCCTTAAGTTCTGATGTGAGGAAACCAGCGGTGCCCACAGGCTGTCCATCAGTTATCTCTCTCATCTGGCCAGTCTACCTTCTTCATCATTCATACATTTATCTTATAACATACTCTCCAAACTTCATTTTTAATGTGTTGTGGTGTGCTCCTGCCCACCATGTGCCTCTCCATTGCCTCACGGGTGATACACAATTTGAATTCTTTGAGACTGTTGTGCTGCTCAGGGGTGCATACATATTTAGTTTCCATGAGTTTCCAGTGTGGCACCAAGAATGGTATCTGGACACCTCTGCATGCATTCAAGGATAGCACCCACACCCTACCACATCAACTGACTACAATTAGGCTCTTTGCAATAGTAGCATATCTTTTCTCAACTTCTGTTAGCTATGCTTTTTTTTTATTTCAAAAGAATAGAATATTCATATTTGTAACCATAAGACCGGGGAGCTTTAGTTGAAAGGGATCCACCTTACTGTTAAAATTAGCCACAAAGAAGAAACTGAAAACTGGTTCTTAAAGATTGTTTTATTACTGAGCTCTAAAAGAGTGTAGCAAATCTTCTTTTGTCAGATTTGACCCTTGCTTGACCCTCCTAGGAGGCAGTGTCCCTTAACAATAAGGTGCGAGGGGGAGGAAACAAGTATTTATTAAACACCTACTATATGCCAGGAACTGTGCTTAGTGCTTTACAGGTTATTTCATTTGATCTTCACAATAAGCCTGAGAAATAGGTGCTATTATTATTCCCATTTTACAGTTAAGGAATTGAGGTAGATAGAGATTAAGTGACTTGCCCAGAATCACACATCGAATAAGTGTCTAAGGTTGCATTTGAACTCAGGTCTTCCTGACTCCAGGCCTAGTGGTCTGTGCATGATGGTGCCACCAAAGCTCCTCCACCTCTGATTAAAGGTATCATCATAGAGATTGCACTGCACCAGGAGTCAGGAGGCCTTGATTCTACTGCTAGCTATGCCACTTACTAGCCATATGACTTTATCCACATCATTTCTTTTCTCTGGCCAGTCTTGAGTCAGGCCGGTGTGGTGCTGGTTCAGGTTTATGATTGGGATGAAAGGAGATACTCATAGATCACCCGGCAATTATCAAAAGGAAATTCACTTAGCCTTTTATGGAAAGGCTATTCGACAAGGATATAGCTTTGATTCACTTGGGCACACCTGTTGCTGTGTTTGTCATGGAGGCACGTTAGTGTCAAGGGAATGGCTCCTGAATTCTTGCATGATGGGTCTTTGCACTTGGATCGCCAGGAAACTATGTCAATGGTTCAAGCCTGTGACCCCTGGACCAATGAAGTTTAGAGAGATTTCAGGAAAAGCTAACCTAGCCTACATGGCTGGGACCCTGGTAGATATTGCTGCTACCACAGGGTTTCAGTTTCCTTAGCTGACCTCCCTTTTCTCACCAGCCTTCTATAGTACCACCTTCCCTTTCTACCTGGTTTGAAATTCTCACCTATTAGCCATTAATGGGTTAAACAACAAAGAATAGGGGCATTGCTTAAGAGAAACGAGTTACAATGCACATATTTTCTGGTAGACTTCTTTCATCTTCTGTAATTAGAAGCCATTTATTAGATTAATAATTAATGGTATTGGGTCCTGAGGAAATGTGATATAGAAAAGATAAATTTCTATGGGAGTAGAAAACGTTGATAATGATGGCAATTTTAATCTCAGGGAGGGCATAAGGCCTAAAGACAATGGGGTATCTGGGGGAGGCCCCAGGGAAGAGTGCTGAGGGGCACAAACTTCACTTACCTCTTAATTTTACCCATTAATAGCCCTAGTTTCGTGCATTTTAGCAGAGTCAGGACAAAGGCTCAGCCAGAGGTTGAGGTCTGGGTTAGGGATGAGGCCATTGGTGTGCATTGTATCTTGGGTCAAGATTAATGTAACCGGATGATTAGCTCCCGTATAAACCTGCTTTTAAATCTTATTTTTACCCCCTGGTATTTGTATCTTTTCTTCTACAGGTCACAGACGCAGGATCTTGCCCCTGGCCTTGAGTCCAGATCAGAGCAAGATTTTTTCGGTTGCAGCTGATGGAATAGCCTATGTCTGGAGATGCTGTTAATCTGGTCAAAGGAGACGGGGGTTGATAGAGCCTCTTCCTCGGGGGCTCCGTTACAGCTGCCTGGGGCAGATAGGCCTCAGTTCTGTTGGATTTAGAGGAACAGCAACAGTTCAGCCTGGGAGCATACTTTATGTCTCAGAGGAGTTGCCCTTACTGGTGCCCCAGTTTCCTCTCACTCCTCCAGACAAGAAAAGACATGTGAAGGGAAGCCCACCTCCCACTTCCTTAGATACCCAAACGTTTCCACAGGTTGTTTCTTCTTTTTGAAACCACTTGAAAACTGTACCCTGTCCCTAGAAACGATGTAGTCACTTCAATCACCTTCTGCAGCTGAGTCCCCAGTCACTGGGCCTGCTGGCAGCTCTCACCCCAAAGGGCTTGTCCCAAACTGCCCCATATACTTACCCCCAAGCAATGACAACTGACAGCCAGTTGGGGGCTAGCTGCCGAGAGGCTTTTAGGAGAACTCTGTTTGCTAGGAGCACATTTTCAGAAAGTCAGATGATTAATTTTGGATGCTACTCTATACGTAGCCCACCAGTGCTTTTGTCCATTATAAGCAGATCTCTCCCAGATCTTTTTACTGGCTATCCCTCATCCCTGGATTACACTCCCTCCTCATCTCCACTTCCTTCTACCTTCTAGCATCCTCTTCTTTCTTCAGGATGCAGCTTAAGCAAAACCTTCTACAAGGAGCATTCTCTGATCTCCCCAGTTGCCAGTATCCTTCCTCCAAAACTACATTGTATTTAATGACTCTATTTGTTTGTATTTATTCCTTTTTGTAGTTATTTTCTACATATACTTGTATATGTACCTATTGTCTTATCCATTAGATTATAAGATCCTTGAGAATGGGGATTGTTGCATTCATTGTCTTTGAGTCCCCAGTTCCTAGTACTGTGCCTGGAACTTAGCAGGTGCTTAGTAAATGGTAGTTGGTTGATTATATCTCAGATGCATGAAGTGAGATGTGAATGAGTATTGAACTGACAACATTATAGAAGCTAGAATGAATCTCTTACCCCCAAAACCACTTTCTCATGACTCTATGTGGTTTACAAGCTTTTTAGAAATCACATGACATAGAGTGGTTATACTGAGAGCATTATTTTCTACTTTTCTCACAAGACACATGTAACTTGGAACCAGTAACTTGTAACCAAGGATCCATACTTACAAAAGTATAAACACACTCATCTACTGATGTATGTGTGAGTGTGTGTGTGTGTTTGTGTGTGTAAAGCCTGGGGCAAAGAAAAAAATCTTCATCAATGACTCCCTAATCTATAAATCCAGCCCTAATTATGTCCTTGAAGCTGTCCTCACACACTGTTAACTCCTTCTACATCTCTTGTGAGCACCTCAAACTCAATGCTGCCCAAAATGAAGCTCATTTCCTTCTCTCACTATACGTGCCCCTCCTCCACACTTCTCTGTTTCTGTTGCATGTACTACTATTCTCCCACTTGCCCAGATTTGTGACTGCTGAGTCATCAATGATTTTCCCGTCTCTGCCATCCTATACATCCAGTCAGTTGCCCAATATTGTTACTTCCATTTTCCTCCATTTACATGGCCAGCACCCTCATTTAGCCCCTTCTCTCTCCTAGAACAGTGATCTATGAAGTTTTTTGATCCCATATCCCATCAGCAAAAAAATCAACAATCACAAAGATAAAGCCAAAAACCCAAATCTTTTGAGCATTTGCTCTTTTATTTTTACTCACTTATCTAATTAATTAAACACATATAAATCAGTTATTAGAATGTGAAACTGCCCTAAGAGTTTTGGGACACCTTATATTCACATGGGCAAAAATAGGAATGCAAAAATATGAGATAAAGGTGAAATAATATTAAAAACAATTTTAAAGTGTTACTAATAGTATAAAACTCCTTTTTGCTCCAATAAGCTAATTTTGACAAATTATTAATAATGATATTTTAAAGGGATGTGATTGAATATGCTTCCATGTTTTTTAAAATCTTGGGTTAACACTTTGTTAAACCAAATGATTTGAAGGATGTTTCTAAGTTCAGTTTATTTTCATTCTTGGTTTTGATGTTGTCATAGCCAAAAAAGATATCATGGAAAAATTACATGGATCCAAATGAAAGAAGTACATCAATAGATGTATGTTCTAATTCTTAATGTTTATCTTTCAATTCCAGGTCACCAACTAGGCAAAGGTTTTTGTTGAAAATTTTCTAGCAAATTTCTATCTTTTTCTGCTAATAAGTGGTTCTTGCAAACTAATCAGGTGGTGTTACTTATTTTTTTTTTAATTAAGTAATTTCAAAGTCCAATGAAAGTCTTCATTTGATTTGGATGTAGGTTAGAAAATTCTGTTTCTAAATTTAAGTGTGTAGCTATGCAAGTTTTTATAGGTGACACATCTTTTTTGACAACAAAAGTTTAGTTTTTAAAATTCTTCTTAATTGTGAAGACTAATATCTCAGGGCAGAATGTAGTGAAGGTAAGGATCATCATTAATGATAGTAGACGTAAATCTGTATTCAAAATAATGTTCTTGATAATTTTTACTTTTTTTGTTAACTTTTTTGGCAGATCTGATTAGATATCCATAAAATATGGCTGATAGAAAATTCCTACTAGGAGTAGAAATGTCTGTCATTTTATCATTCGATTGCACTTTCAAAAGTGTTTCATCTTTACTCTGTGGTTTCTTTGCAGGAATTTTCCAAAGCCACCGATTCATTTTGTGAGAATTAGTTAAAGTTAGATAATATAGTCCCTAAATCCACTTAACCTGGTACATATAGACTGTAATATGTTGCAATGTGCCAATAGCAAAAAACAAGGGAGGGCACCACTGTCAGCCCTTCCATGGTTTGGAACTCTTGCTCTTCTCTTAGGAGCAGAAGGCGTATGCATATGCACCAAGTAAGTGTATGTGCTCATCTAGCTATTAAATATTCACACAGCTTAATTCTAATTTTATATGTTAGTAGCACTTCGGTGCAAGTAATGTTTTATTTTATGTATACATTTTTATATATAATAACATAGCTAGAAGTTCTAATTTCTTTCTCCACAACCCAGTGGATCATCCTGGGTACCTTTGGGGTTTGTGCACCTCACTTTGAAGACTACTGCCCTACACTCCTACACTACCCTCTGACCCTCTGATTAAGTCTTTTTCTTCTGAGCTCTCCCATTGCAGTTCAGCTTCCACAAGTTGTAACTCACTCCCAACGTCCAAATCTTTCTTAGGCAAAGATTTGATTTGGTTACTCACTTCCTTAAAAACTTCAGTGGCTCTGTATTGCCTCTAGGATAAACCATACAACCTTATCACCTTAGCATTTTAAGGCTCTCCATAGTCTGGCTCCCACTTAACTTTCATAGCTTTACTTCATTTTACCCACAGTATCTTTAAGCCAAATTGGGACGCTAGCAATTTCCCAAACTTAGGATTCCATCTCCCATATCCTTGCCTTCATTCTAACCCCCTCATCATCTCTACCCTTTCTCTTTCCAAGTCTCAGGTCAATCTCTTCTGTGAAACAGTTCCTAATCCCCCAGTTAGTACTGCTCTCTCCCTCCTTATTTTTATTTGTTTCTGTATTATTTGTGTTCATATTTTATCTTCCCAGTAGAATATGAAATGGTTGAGAGTAAGGACTATTTCATTTTTGTCACTGTTTTCCCAATATCTTGTACTGGGAAAAGTACAAGATACTTTAGATAGATATATTTGTTTACTTAGGCATCTAAAAAACATTATTGAATTGAATCAAAGTCTAGGTGATTTGTAAGAAAAAAAGAAATTTTTGTTGTAGTTAAATGTTTATGAAATTTGAAATATAATATGACATGAACAGGAAGAATATACCATGTAACAGAGATAAAATGGCTTACATACCAGTTGTAAATTTTGGATTTTTATAAAATAAAATGTAATCAACTAGGTTAATAAGTATCTCGTGGTCAAAATTGGAATGGAATGAGACTCTTGCAGTCCTTCTAACAGTTGGCAAAAGGAAGTTTACTTAGGTAACCATAGCAAAAGAAGGATATTCAGAGGAGGGAAAGTACGTTCATTAAGGACATAGCCAGTGGTATGCTGGAGTCAGCTCATGAGAGCTATGAACATTTACCCTTGGAAATCTGCAAACTACTAATTAGGGCTTGATTTAGTGTTTTGTTGATTATCTAGTCATAAGAAAGTGGTGAATACAATGTTAAATGTAGGTTAAATTTCAAAGTGTGTCTTGCATACATTTTTCCTCCCTGGAGAGCTAGTTGTCATCACCGCGCTTGGGGGAAAAGCCTTGATTCAGCTCTCTTGATCTGGTGCTGGTCATGCTCTTAGTCTGCATTCAGAAACCTGAGGGAGGCTCAGCGGGTTAGGGGTGAACATCCTGGTTGTTTTAGGTGACCAGGAAGCTAAATCCAACACTGTTTCCATAATATCATGCTACCTCTTGCCTTGGTCATATATTCTGTCTTCCAGTCTGAGTTTTGAGACTAACAAGTTGATATTAAAGTTTAGCACCAGAATCAGGTGAATTAGACTGAGAAATATGATTATGGGCAACTCAGTCTAATAGATATTAGTGTAATGCCACAAAAATGCTATCATTGGTGCTTCTAAATTTCAGTTCCATATTTTCAAGGCTGTGAGGGAGCTAGATGGTGCAGTGAATAGAGCACTGGGCCTGGAATCAGGAATACTTGAGTTCAGATCTGGCCTTTGGCACTTACTGCCTTTGTGACCTTGAGCAAGTCACTTAACCTCTATTTGCTTCTGTTTCCTCAACTGTAAATTGTTGATAAAAACAATATCTACCTTTTCAATGTTATGAGAATCAAGTGAGATAATATTCATAAGATGTTTAGCACAGTGCCTGACACATAGTAGGTGCTATATAAATGCTTATTCCCTTCTTCTAACCTTTGTGTAGAAAAGCTATAATGAATTAGGATGCTGGATTTGGGGTTGGGGCATAGATACAGCTTTGGTAAAGTAAAT